TATTCTCTTTAAAACATTTGAAATTGCCATATCACCATAATCATTTATTAAGTTACAAATACTTTGTTTAGGCAACTCTGACTGATAATGGACTGCATCTTCTCCATCTTTTATATTATCTTCACAAAGGTTTTTATTTCTTATTTAATATGGCCTTAAGTCATCATTCACAGACTCTTCAGGCCAACCATTCATACAGTGCTCATATACTTTTATTAAGCACTCATCTTTTTGTGTTTCTCTTTTAATATCATTCACATTTATATTGGAGTTATCTATGATAGTGAAGAGAACAAATACATCTTCTGGTACATAGCTCAGGCTTTGGTTTTTTAAAGGTAATCTACTAAGACTATCTGCACTATTCTCAGATCCAGGTTTGTATTTCAATTCATAATTGTATGCAGTTAGTGTGATAGCCCATCTTTGAATTCTTGGTGAGGCATGCTCAGGTAGGGTTTTGTTTTCTCCAAATAAACCTAGCAATGGTTTATGATCTGTAAAGATGGTGAACTTCCTACCAAACAGAAACTTATGAAATTTCTTAACACCAAAAATGATGCCTAAGCCTTCCCTATCTAACTGAGAATAATTTTTCTCAGCCTGGTTCAAAGATCTACTGGCAAAAGCAATGGGTCTGTCACCCTTCTCATCCATGTGGGACAAGACTGCTCCTACACCATCTGGTGAAGCATCACATGTTAATATAAGTCTTTTCCCTGGGTCATAGTGAGTTAGTAAGGTGTCAGCAGACAAAGCCTCTTTTGCTGTATTAAAAGCAGCTTCTTGTTGTTTACCCCAGTGCCAAGTTGCATTTTTCTGTAGCAGCTTGTACAGTGGTGATAGTTTACCAGACAGATTTCCTATGAACTTTGCATAGTAATTTATTAAGCCCAAAAAAGCTCTTAGTTGTTGGGTATTTTCAGGTTTGGGTGCTTCTTTAATGGCTTTTGTTTTCTCAGGTTGAGGTCTGATGCCTTGCTTGCTTAATATATAACCAAGAAAACTAATTTCTGTCAGCATGAATTGGCATTTATCTTTGTTTATCTTTAAACCTTTTTCACCAACAATTTTCAATACTTTATCAAGTGTTTTAAGATGTTCAGTGTCATTCTTACCAGTTATGTACACATTGTCAAAGTACACACAAACATTTGGAATGTCCTTAAAAATACTGTCCATGACAGCTTGGAAAATTCCAGGGCTAGATGATATGCCAAAACATAGTCTTTCATATTGGTAGAGTCCTTTATGTGTGTTTATTGTCGTATAGACTTTTGAGTCTGGATGCAGTTCTAGTTGAGTGTAAGCATGACTAAAGTCTAATTCAGTGAATTTGTCTCCTCCTGCCAAATTCAAAGAGATTTCCTCAATGTTAGGTATAGGGTACCTATTTAGCTCTATTTGCTTATTCAGTGTAGTTTTATAATCTCCACAAATTCTTATAGAACCATCCTTCTTTAACACTGGCACAATGGGCGACGCCCAATCGGAATAGTCTACCTTCTTTATGATGCCATTAGATTCCAATCTACTTAGCTCATTTTCAATTTTATTCCTCATTGCATAAGGTGGAACTAGCTTTGCAGTATCTTGGATTTGTGTCTTTAATGCTTAACTTCACTGTTCTATCATTTAGTAATCCAGAGTTACCAAAAACACATTTATTTTCAGATATAACTCTATCTAGTGAAGTAAGACTAGATTCTTTTACATTCTTCAATGAACAAATACTCTCCCAATTTAACTTAAGATCACTTAACCAGTTCCTACCTAGTAATGGTGGTCCATTTCCTTCAACCACAAGAAGAGGAAGTTTAACACTTTGACCATTATAACTTACATGAACCATACACTCTCCTATTACCGGAACATTGTCACCAGTGTATGTTGTTAAACACTTGTGACATGGCTGTAGAGGCACTGATCCTCCTGTGACAGCGTCAAAATCTTTCTTTGTTATGACTGTTAGAGATGCTCCAGTGTCAAGTTGGAAGCTGATGCTCTTACCGTTGATATTAACTTGTACATTGATGGGAGCATGACTTTCTGATTTCACAGGGAACAGGTTGAACTCCGGCTGCAAATCAGTTTGAGCATTTTCACAGGTAGAGTGGTTCATTGGTTGGGTTAGGTAGTCTTGGTGAGAGTTAACATAGTGCTGCCTTTGGTTGCGGTACTGTCTTGACTGGCTAGATTTAGCAACAGACGAAGACTTTGCAAAGCAGGCCTTGGCAATGTGACCTTGCCTACTGCACTTATAACAAGTTGCTGACTTGAACTTGCACCGATGAGATGCATGGGGACCTTTGCATCGATGACATTTTTGATAATTATTACTAGATTTAGATCTAGGATTTGAACGAGCAGGCTGTTTAGCATAAGTTGGAATGCTCTGATGGGGTTGATGTTTATTGACTAACCTGCTGTTTACTGCATGGATCTCTGAAGGTGCTAAAGATCTCGCCGCATCTGATGACTGCTGGAATGACATTGCAAGTTGTATTGCTTTTTCCAATTTTAGATCTGACTCGAGCAGCAACTTTCTTTGAATATCAGGGCTGTTTACACCTGTCACAAACTTTTCACATAATCTGTCAGACAGCGTTTCTCCGAATTCACAAAATCTACTTAAATGACGTAAAGCAGCAACATATTCTGATATTGACTCGTTTGTTTGACGAGTCCTACTGTCAAATCTAGCTCGACATAGAAACTTTGATGGGGTAGGCGCATGGTGGTCTGTTAGCTATTTGCTCAGCTCGTTAAAGCTCTTGGTAGTTAGACTAGCTGGTGCGCATAAGTCCTTTAGTAGCCGAAATTGTTGAGGCCCTATGACTGTTAACAAAATAGCTCTCTTTTTGGCTTCTATCGTCACGTTGTTAGCTTCTAGGTAAAAGCTAAACCTATCTAGGTAATCCTGAATGATTTCATCATTCGCATCAAATTGTTTTATTTGGCCATACAGCGCCATTATTCTAGAAATAATTAGCTAATAAGCTCTAGCAAACCTCTTTTTTGCGTAAGTAGGTGCTCTTTCTAGTAGATGTTTATCCTTCGTCGCCAAAATGTGATGGATTGACGAGGAGCCACATTGGTGTTAACAGCCTTTTATTTACAGACAGCCATGATGCAAAGAGAGGAAGGAAGTGGCGAGCGACAACTATTTATAGATAACAACATGTAAGGGACATCACTCAAGATAACAATATAAATATAATACTAATACAGAAGAGTGAGTTCCCTTGACCTCACAATTATCTCAATCTATTACAAGTATTTAGTCAGCACAACCAATATTCTTAAAATCAGTTTATTAGTATGTCATTGAAACACTTTATTTCCATCAATGGGAAAACGTATTCTGCAAATCAGATGAAATAGATTAAGTAATTATGTCAATTAAATAAACACACTCATTTTATTTATTTTTTTTTTTGTTATTTATAAACTGCTGATCAATTGTTTAAATCAACAAGACATCCACTATAAACTGTGACAAAACATCCATTTACAACTGTTTTAGCCTTTATTTGCGGAATTAGTTTCTGAATTAATTTTTTTTTTCTAAAGCAATGTGTTATCATATTGGTTTTGGCACACTTGAAGTATATGTCAAAGAAAATTTAGTTTCATAAATTTTTTAATGGCCCATAAATATATTGGTACCTATAAGTACCATCAGGAATGTAGAACAAAAAATTTATAAAAATTACAAAACAAGAACAAACGGTACAATTTATTTACTAATAACATGGTAATCATTATAACAAACGTTTTTTTTTCTTTTTGTTTTCTTTTTGTAATTTTCACACATCAACACAGAACACGTTTATATTTTGAGTACGACTTTTATTGGATTTTCTATCGGAATACATCTTAGACCTCAAACACAGCAATAGGTGCCGAGGTGTCATGCTCATTCATTTCTAATTGACACATTCTTGTCTTTGGTCATTCTGGTGTTACAACAGTTACTGGACTGAACCTGCTTTTGCTGGAAGCTTCAAATAGCTATACAATAAGCCACATAAACAAATTCAGTACACTACTACTACTAGTAGTAATACTAGTATAATAATAGCCTACTAGAATGTGAGGACAAACCTACACTACAGTGTAAACTTCATACATAGAAGTGAGCTTCATGTGGTTATAATAGGCTTAGTGGCCAACAGTTTAATGTCTACTGGTAAAAATTTGCATAACGATTTATATTATATGCAATTGTATGGAATATTACTAATCTACAGATATGCATTATTTACATGTTAGTTATTTATTGTAGGCTAGATTTTTATTTTTTTTGCAATAAATTTAACTAACAAATCTTACTACTAGAACTAGACTTTGGCATACAAATAAACTTTACTAAACCGAGTAAACTAGCCTGCAACTGCTATCTTCATTCTTGTTACACTTTTACTACTACAAATCTGCATTGCATTACAATATTTCTTAGATAAACCATATGCTAACCTTCTTTCAAATGTATAAATAACTTTTTTGAGTACATTTCTATAATTTGTTATCAAAATAATATGTATGTCACTCCACATCAAAATTCTACCATTTCCAAGAAATCCTAAAAAATAATGACCGTGTGCCCTGACGGTACTCATAAATACTCGTGTAAACACTGATCTAATACAAAGACTATTTGACTAAGATTGAATAAATAGAAGCTTAACACACTTACCTGACTGCTGAAGATGCCAATAAAAAATATTTGGGGTTGAAAACTTGAATAATAAGGTAAAACGAAAAGAAATTAAGAAAACATGTGAGATCTGTGAACTACCGATACAGGAAGATATTGAAAATAGCGACGCACCAAAAATTTTCAAAAAAACATCGATTTCCCTCCCCCTTCCCCTCCACCACATAGGCCTACGGGTGACTCAAGGGAGATAATACTATCAATTATATCAATATTTTTTAAACTTCATCTTAAATTTAAAACAATACAGTCGGTTAATTAAAGTGGTACTCATACGTACCGTCAGTAGATAAAGGGTTAAGACTGTTGATGCGATCAACTGAGCAACTATTAGCTTGTGCTAAGTTGTAATTGAGGCCACCACACAGAATGTCTGCCTTCATTTCTTCTGTGCATTTCATGTCCAGCTGGCTGACCACCCAGTAGTTGCAGAACCTCTGGTAGTATTTGCTCTTGTGGTCAGCTTTCAAGTTCTCAAAGATTTTCCTCAAGGATGAGACGCTCATGTCTGGAACATCATAGGCAGTGGTGAAGCTGTATAGCTCGGCCTAGTGAGGGAGGAGTTGAAGTTGGTTAGGAGTAACATTAGTGCATGCATGTGTGTAATCATATGGCATTGTGGTGACTAATTTAAATATAGAGTCTGTCTAGCTGTAGTGGGTACTCAACATTAATTGAGAGGAAAGTGAAGCCATTAAAAGAGATGGACTCTACTCCGTCTTCCTGATTTACTGTCAGATTACATCAGATCATTCAACACCTTTCCCATGTCATATAAAAAAACGTCAGTCTCAGTAATATTTTTTTTAAATATCAATAACTTTACTATTCTTTATCTTAGGAATATAAAATAATAGATTTTATATCTAATAGTGCAATTTTAAATTTATGAACACTTTACATATAAGGATATTGTTGAAATAATGACTTACACAGAGAACTTTGTTTACTTGTGAAGTTGCTGAAATACTGCCTTACCCAATTCATTTGTTTTCATTGTTATGTTGGTAACATACTGACCTGTACAATAGGTTTTATTAGGTATCATGTTGGTAAAATACGGATGATGAAATACTGACATACCCAGTTAGATTTGTTTTCTCTATTGGCATCTGTGATGTTGATGAAGTACTGAGTGTAGTCCAGGTTGACACCGGTGTCCCTGTTGTACTTGACCAGACGAATGCCAGGGTTGTGAGCCTCTCTTGTCTTTGTTGGTAGCTTGTACCTCCATGGTGTTACTGATGGGGCATTAAACTGGGTTACTGCCCTTTCACCTGTTAGAGAAGTGAAGAGTTATGTAAACATATCATTAATACCAATCACAATTTGAAGTAATGAGCATGAGAGCAAGACGAATACTGGATTACACTTACGGATACCCGGTAAAGTAAAGTTGGCTGAACTTAGGGCTAAGAACATCAGTGAGCATCGCCAAAAATGGAGACTAGCCAATGGGTATCTGCCTCAAGTTTAGGCAAGGAGCCTGAACTCTACATCAGCCAAGTTATGCCTTGAGATATGGGATGGCATGGTAGCACTCAGTTACTAGCCTGAAGGTCTCGAGTTCGATATCGGTCTGGACTTGTGACTGTAGGATGCTCTGTGTCCACCCAGGTCTAATTGTTACCCAACTCACATTAGGGAAAGTAAAGGCGGCTGGATTTAGTGCTGCACACCATCCCTCCAAGAAACAGGTGAACTCTTCTTCATCTGCATTGTGGATTGTTAGACAGTGAAGAAAGGTGAACTTTATGTGTGAAATGCTACTACTTTTTAAAAATTCTGCTACCATGTAAAAAATAATGTAGTTTAAATGTAGTGATTGCAAAATTGTACCTTTCTCATCTTGTAAGATTTTAAAGCTATCAGCATGGTCGTGTCCATAGTGAGTTGCCACAATAATATCAGAATAGTTGTGGATGATATCCATAAAAGATTTCTTAAAGTGTGGATAGAACCAATCCGAATATCCAGGGAAGAAAAGGCCAGGTGGGACGTGGCCAGTCACAAAAACCTGTAGCAAGCCAAAAATTTAAATATTATAAACAAAAATAGGATTTATAATTTCCTCATAATTAGTTTAAAAAATACTAAACAATATTTTAAAATCACATAGCAAAAACATTCAGCAGCAGTTTTTTAACTCTCAGCTTCTTAACAACTATCTATATACTACAAAAACTCAAGTTTTTTTACACGTTTGAATAATTTTTTTTTGTTTGTCTGTTTGGTTATAGGAGAGAATCTGCATTATGTGTATAGCTGTAAAATACGTAATTAAGTAGGAAACAATGTTCTTTTTGACCAAGCTGTTAATCACAAATTAATTTTAAGACGTTAATTTATTTATTGATTGATTTAGATTAAACCACATTAATTATTAAAGTTCAGAACAATGACTTTATTTATTTTGACGTCACATGATTTATTTACTTTTTACAACATTAATGGCGGCTTCCATTGAATATTTTGTTTCCCATCCAAACGTTTAAGTTTAACGCATTACAAAGCTAATTTTCTGTCGGCTATAGCTTTAACGATACTTCCGTTTATTAGGTTCCAAGACTATTATCACTTTTTAATAGTTCTAATTTGAGTATACAATAAATTTCTCTAGATCTAGAGATCAGCTGACGGACGGTCGAAAAGAGAGTCAATCCTAGATCTAAAATCTAGAGTCTAGGTCAAACCAAAATTAATTAGTTAAAAATAAAAACCATTATAAAATCACAATAAGTTATTGAGTGTCTTTATAAAACTATGTTAGTCCTTAAATATTTAATATAAATCATTGCTTTTTAGCTTCAATGATCATCTAATTCGATAATACATTGGATTTATGATTTATCTATCTAGGTTCAAAATCTAGAATCTAGATCTACGAAAAAAACTAGACTTAACGTAAATTCTACATCTAGAATCTATATCTAGCTCTATCTAGATCTAGAATCTATGCCAATACTTAACTATTTCAGGCCTTAATTATTTTATATAAATCTTTGTTTGTTTAGCTATGGAATTGGCTAATTTAGGATAAAATTTAATTTGAAATAATACTAGGGCCTACTAGATGAAGTACCTTATGCAGAATAAAAGTAAAATATATCAGTAAATACGTCCGTGATCCTACGAGCCTAGATAGCTTAGGTGTTAGTGTATTAGTTACCATTTATTTTATGTTTTTTTTTCTATTTTTTTTTTAAATGTGAATGATAAAGTTGCCTATCGGAACTTGGCGGGATACAGGGCAGGTGAAGTAAAGTTCATCTGTTTCTTTGTCCTCAGTACATAAAGGGATAATGTGGTCAGAGCCATACTTGGCCAAAATCTTTTTTTTAAACGATAAAAACATGTTGTCTGAGACTTGGCGGGACACGGGGCAGGTGAAGTAGAGTGGGGTAGGTGTATAGTTCACCTGTGACATCAGCATATGAAGGGATAGTGTGGTCAGACCCATGCTCAACCGAAATCTGTGTTTTAAAAGAAAAAAAAATGTCTGGGGTGTGACGTCTTTTTTAATGTGGGGTCTGTTTTTTTGTGATAATTAGTGACAGTAGTGAGGGGAGGGAAAAGTTTAAAATTATCAAATAAATCTGACGTCATTATGGATGACTCTTGGGTAGTCTAGTTGTATCATTATAACCTTATTCCTTGCTGACTATTTGCTTTATCCACATTTCAAAATGTTTAACTTTTTCTAAATGTAAGCATTGATTTAATTTTGTCTTTTTAATTATTTATGCAAGCATGTAATTTTAATTAAAAAATTCGTATAAAATTGACATTTTTATTACAAGCTTTTATTTAACTTGCTTCCTCTGTCGTCAGTCTGTCTAGACCGAAACGCCGGAGTGAAATTTCGGAAACTTCTACTTGACCGATACGATTCACACTTGGTACGTGGGTCAAGACATTAAGACAATGCAATCTAAAATTAAATTTGACGTAATTGGATGCCTAATTAATTTTTTATGAATTATTTAAAATTTGGATCGAATTAGTAGGCATGTCTATCCAACCACACCACACGCGTCATCACGTTCAATAGCTGCGCCATCACGTTAAATGGCTGCGCCATCACGTTCAGTAGGCGCGCAATGGTTTATAGTCATGTAACTCTATTGTAAATAAAACATTTAAAGTACTGAAAAAAAATTCATAAAACACGTTTTAATAACAAGCTTTTATGTAATAATGAACTAAAAAGTAGAAAATAAATTATAGGCTACAATTTAAATAACTATAAAGAAAAGCGTGGGTGTCTTCCTTAACATTAGTAAAGGTATCCAATAGATACTAAAGTGACCTACGCTTTTCTTTATAGTTATTTAAATTGTAGTCTATAATTTATTTTCTACTTTTTAGTGCATTATTACATAAAAGCTTGTTATTAAAACGTTTTTTATGAATTTTTTTTCTCAATTTAATATTGACTACATAACAATTACCAGTTGTTTTTCTACCTATTTTTTTTTTTTTTTTTTTTGCCTAATGTCTTATACTGTGAACACTTTATGGAGGAAACAGATGTAAAATAAAGGGACGTAAAACAGGTGTGATGTATTATTTGTGTCCATGTGACATGCAGCATATATAATATATGGTAACAAAAACAGTGATATTTTAACTTTACATCCCAAATATAAAAATAATTACAAAAACTTGTATTTTAACATTGCATTCCAAATATAAATTAACAAACTCATAGACCTTAATGGTTTGAATTAAAATAATTCAGTTAGCCTTAAGAGAACCATTATACTTAGGGCGTACAGTTTATGTCTACAATGTGAGAGGTGGGTCTCTCTGACTTTGGTATGTAGCCTACAGTACATTGTATGTCTACATTATTTATAAGAGTGGTGCACCTGATTGAGGTGTTTTTTAAAGGATATGCATCATGTTCGGCTCAAGCGTTACCTTCTCTCCTTTATCTTTAGCACTTTGCAGCTGTTGCTTCATCCACTTAAACTGGTCAGTGGGGTCAGTCATGTTGGCGGTCAGCTTGTCAGTGGTGTAGTACATGTTTGTGTTCAGTGCCAGAAGTCTTAGGCCTGGTCTCACAATCACAGAGTAGTACCCGCCTGCATGAGAAATAAAGATTTTAGTACTCACATTTATGTATATTTGTTATATATAGGCCCTAATATATATATATATATATATATATATATATATATATATATATATATATACCTAAGGTATGGTATGGTTCTTTGTTGATACTATCCAAATAACTCAGAAATAACCAAACTGACCTTTGTTTAAAAATTTTTACTTTCTCGTATATAGGCCTACAGAGTATAGAGAAAGACGTGTTGTAAGCGTGCAAAATAAAAATCGAGATTTTAGCAAATCATGACGTTTTACACCTCCCTGAGTCGGAAAAACATAATTTTGCAATCTTGTCCGTATTTCTGTGTGTGTATGTACTTGTGTCTTTAACACGATAACTTGTGTACCGTAACAGCTAGGTTGATGAAATTTCATATATATCAAATTTGTAGATCCGTATCAACTTTTGAGTGATTTTCGATAACCGGAAGTGGAACTTTTTTTACTTTCAATTTTTCAAAAGCCTATAACTTGAGTACTATTTCAGATAGACAAATGAAATTTCACATGTCAGTAAAACTAATTCTCTGCATTCTGTCAAATTTTTCTCAAAAAAAAGCATGCTAATTTATAAAGTACTAATAATATCCCGCACTATCATGCACTTTTAGTTTGGCGTTCACTTGGTGTGTAATTCTTTTTTCTACGAGATTTTATTCTATTTTAAAAAGTTAAGTAATTAAAATTAATTTAAAATATTCTCTATATCTCGAGTAGCCATCCCCCGTAGTGTTTTATACGAAAATTCGAGAAAGTTTAGGGAGATCACTCCCGGTTTATTTACATTACAACATTGCAAAAAGTTGAAAAACTGAAACGCAGTTTTACTTCAAATTGTTCGTTATGAGTAAGTAATACGTTTGGTGAATATACCTAGAACACATTCCTAGTGTACACATCCTCTGGTACACATCCCAAACTCCAAGACTTACCCTCCTTGACAAAATAATTCTCTTCCTTGTTGCCCACAGTCTTGATGATCCAGTCCCTCCACATGTCATCAATGCTCCTGTAAAACTCATCCTCTGTGTAGTTGGCTTGACCGTTGGGGTAGAAGTCGTGGTTGCCCAGGGATGCGTAGACGGGCGCTCCCACAAAACTGGTGTTGAGCAGGTCGGTGATGTTCTGGAGGATCTCAAGGTTCAGCTCCAGAGACAGGTCCTTGTCAGCTATGTGGGCTACGGTGTCCCTGTAAGGAGATATTTGTTAAGATGATTCCTGCAAGAAAATAGTTGTTGATAGTGTCACTACAAAAAAGTATTTGCTGAGTGTCCATACAAGAAAATATTTGTTGAGAGTTTCACTATTAGAAAATATTTATTAAGAGTGTTCCTAAAATAAATATTTGGTGCCAGAGCCTTTTTACTTACTCCATCCTTAAGAGAGGGTTGACATCTGATTTGATGCTAGCATTTGTTTCAACACTTACTACGTCCAAATGAGAAAGTCGACATCATGTTTGATGCTAGTATTTGTTTTAACACTTACCCCGTCCAAATGAGAAAGTAGACATCATATTTGTTGCGAGCCTTACTTACCCCGTCCAAATGAGAAAGTCGACATCATGTTTGATGCGAGCCTTACTTACCCCGTCCAAATGAGAAGGTCGACATCATGTTTGATGCGAGCCTTACTTACCCCGTCCAAATGAGAAAGTCGACATCATGTTTGATGCGAGCCATGCTTTTAACACTGTCGGTGACCAGGGCCCAGGTGGCATCACACCAGTAGTCGCCGAACGTCTGCAGGGCTGGCACCTCCTCGTTACAGGACAGCTTGCTGGTCGCGTACGTGTGGTCATAGTGGAAGTCGGTCACGTGCCAGAAGTAGCCTGGGGGAGGGGGGAGATGGTTAGGGTCAGCGAAGTAGGGTCAGGGAGAGGGGTCTTGTTTATAACGTTAGGGAGGTGTGAATTAAGATGAGGAGGGAGTTGTGGTGAGAGAGGGGTATGGAAGAAGTAGTGGTAAGTGTCAAGTGTGAATTCTAGTGTTGTTATTTCGCATAAAAAACCCACCTAACCGGACCCCATTTCCTAGTGTTATTTTAGATCCCCAACTCTCCCTTTAGAATGATGTCCGTTTGATCGTACAATGTTTATTTTGAGTTATTTCATGACATGAGTACATGAGCTTTGGTATTGGATTTGTGAGGGGTGGTTTCGTGATTTGTGAGGGGTGGTCTCATGATTTGTGAGGGGTGGTCTCATGATTTGTGAGGGGTGGTCTCATTATTTTTGTGGTGTGGTCTCATGTTTAAGATTATATAAGGACATAACGTTCACTTTTCAGAGTCAAAGTGATAAGACATTGCGGCATTTCTTGGAAAATAATAACGAGTTGACCTTTTAATACAAGGGGGGGGGGGGGAATACGGTAAAGTAAAGTAAAGTTTCCCTTTCAAACCTAACTGTCTATGGGGCAAGTGAAGTAGAGTTCATTTGTTTCTGTGACCTCGGCATATGAAGAGATAGTGTGGTCAGCACTATGCCCAGCCTTTTACTTTCACTAACGTGAGTTATGTACCCATCAGAGTTGGGTGGACTCATGGACAGTTTACTGACTTGAACCCGGATTCGAACTCGAGACTTACGGGTTAGCAGTCCAGCTCTCTACCGTTAGACCACTAGATATGGTGCAGTTCATTATATCAACAAACAGAATCCGTGCGGCGTTAAAACGGCCAATGACAAAACGGCCCCGTCAATACGACCCCGACAAATCGGCCCCGACATAAGAGCCCCGTCAAATAGACCCCGTCAAAAAGGCCAGCGACATATGGACCCCGTCATATAGGCTCCCAACAAATAGGCTCCCGTCATATAGGCTCCCGTCATTTAGTTTCTCGATAAAATGGCCCCCGTCACTACGACTCCCGAGAAATAGGCTCCCGCCATTTAGTTTTTCCACAAAACGGCTCAGGTCATTACGACTCCTGACAAATAGGTTCCCGTCAATTTGGCTCACGACAAATAAGCTCCTGTCAATTTGGCTCCCAAAAAAGGACCACTGACAATACAGTTTCCGTAGAGAATAAGTCTCCCGGCAAAACAGTCTCATTGAATATGACACCTGCCAGTGGGACCCATTCATCTATATTCTTTAGAGTTAGCTTATCCAGCACTCTAAGTAATACAGCTTATGCATCTCTTGTTCGGCAGGCCTTATTTTTATAACAGTTTATGTATTGTAAGAAATAGTATGTTTTAATTTAAGGGTTATCTATCTATGACTTCCATAATTGAGTCGGTTATAGGCTGTTCCAACTCAGTGTGTGTGAAGAAGGGTCCACGCTGTACATTCCTACATATAGTATGCTTGTAGATTATTAAAACAAAATGTCATTATCCTGTAAACATCACTTATATCACACATTTACACTTCTGTGCTAGCTTTTAACCAACAGATCTTTTCTGTTGTAAATTAAACATTATCACAATTTTAGAATTGGTGGAATTTAGCTGTTATAAGGGCTAGATTTGTTTGTGAATTGATGTTGGTTCATGAAAAACAATTTCATGTAGCCATTTAAAAGAGGTTATAGTGGTAGTGGATGTAGGACAAATGGTTACTTTTATGCCAATAGTGGTAATACGATTCATTTGTCTGGAGCCAAATGTCGGGAGTCATTTTGTCGGAAGCCAATATGCCGGGAGCCCTTTTGTCGGGAGCCAATATGTCCTGAGCCTATTTGTCGGGAGCCAATATGTCGGGAGTCCATTTGTAGGGAGCCTACATGTCGCGAGTCAGTATGACGGGAGCCCATTTGACGGGAGCCAATAAGTCGGGGCCCATTTGACGGGGCTATTTTGACGGGGTCGTTTTGTTGGGGGTCGATTTGACGGGGTCATATTAACGGGGCCGTTTTGACGGGGCCGATTTGTCCCGGGCCGTTTTGGAGGTGCACCGTTTATATGTCACAAGCAAAAAATTATATTTAGACTGAGCTTTTAACATAGGTGTCGCAGATGTTGGCATCGCTTATCTACTTTGTAGTTATATATTATGTTTGTATTGCGCATGCGCATTCCTTCAGTAAAGTTTAATAAAGATAATGGCCTGTGCATCGCCACATTAATGTAAAGTAGGTCTACATCCCAGTACAACCCAATAAACAATCACCATTGGCATGGCATTAGACATATAACATTGCTAAGAACCATAGCTCTTGTCAGGAACCCTAACTTCGGTTTGATTATCATCTGACAAATACTTTCGCACTTAAATTAAAATAAAACGTGTGACGTTCATTTTATTTTTCATAATCGTCACGAAAATTTCCCAAAAACAATTTAGAAAAAATAAAATGCCCGGACAGATGTCCTACACACCCAATGTCCGGACAAATGTCCTACACCTAATGTCCTACACAAAATGTCTGGACAGATATCCTACTTAATGTCCGGACAGATGTCCTACACACAATATCCGGACGGATGCCCTACACACCAAATGCCTTACCCATAGACCGAGAAAAAACAACTTTATTCCACCACACCTAACCGACTCAAGTATTTTGAAAAGTAAATATGGAAATAAATTACGTCAACTTCTGATGCTGGCTGAGCACTGTTTCAAATAATTTATAAGACAGTCTACTCCACTTGACTCAGCTGGCTAAGTTGCAGTGGCGAAGCGAGGGGGGGGGGGGGGCGGGGTGCGGACCGCACCGGGTGACACCATTTAGGGGGGGGGGGGGTGACACCAATGCAAAAATAAGCAAAGTATATACAGAAAAATGACAATTTCACTTAATTAAGTGATTAATTAGAGTGAATTAAATAGTCTTTTAAGAGCAAAGTGGACAAATCCCGAAATTCAGCTGAAATTATAAACGAATATAGATGCAAATCGTAGGTATTATCTGAGCACAGTTTAAAGCAATCACCGTGGGGGTGATGAGGGGAGGGAGAGTTACATCAACTCAGTGTTGCAATATATATGCCTGAGGAAAACGGTTTGGTTGAGAATCGTAATAAGCTATATGTTAAACCATGTATTGGGGGCGGGGGGATTAAAAAAATTAAATACATTCAGCAGAAAAAATAAACCGGGAGTGATCTCCCCTAAACTTTCTCGAATATTCTTATATAAAATAACAGGGGATGGGAATTCGGGCTATAGACATGATTTTTAATCCATTTTAAATACTTAAAGTTTTAAAAATAGAATAAAATCTCGTAGACAAATTAATTGCACACCAAGTGAACGCCAAATAAAAAAGCGCATAATGGTGCGCAATATTATTAGTACTTTTAAAATTTACATTAGTTTTTTGAGAAATCGAAAGTAGCGTAAAGTACTACTTCCAGTCAACGGAAATGACTCAAAATTTAATTGAAGGTAGAGAATTAGATCTTTTACTTACATATGAAATTTCATTTATCTATCTGAAATAGTACTCAAGTTATAGGCTTTTGAAAAATTCAAAGTAGGAAAAGTACCTTTTCCGGTTATCGGAAATCGCTCAAAAGTTGATACGGATCTACGATTTTGATAAAATACTTATATATGAAATTTCATCAACCTAGCTGTAACGGTACTCAAGTTATCGTGTTTACACACGGACAGACAGACACACAGACACACAGACAGACACACAGACATACGGACAAGATTGCAAAATTATGTTTTTCCGTATCAGTGAGGTGTGAAACGTCGAGATTTGTAAAAATCTCGATTTTTTTTTTTTGCACGATTACAAGACTTTCTCTATACTTCGTATATACGAGAAAGTAAAAACATTTAAATAATTATTCAATATATAATTATACACATGTGTATACACATACTTACAAGTGTATATGGAATATATATATATATATATATATATATATATATATATATATATATATATATATATATATATACGGGGGAGGGGCTCGGGGGGGGGGACGACACTGTCAGTTGCCGCACCGGGTGACACCCCACCTCGTTACGCCACTGCTCAGTTCTAAATGTCCTGCTGTCTAGAGTCGTAGATTACAAGAAAAGTTGTCTGCCTCTTCTTATGTGTGTAAAGCGCTGTAAATGATCGATGATTGTTGACCTGGTACCGTTGTGAAGCATCCGAGTCTGAAGGGTCTGACAGAGAGAAATAGTTGTCCATCTCTGGTCGGCAAACTTTGAATGGATTTTTTTTAACCAACATTTAACGTCATCGCTTGTCTTGCGTCATAGTTTCATGGAAGCGTGTCATAATTTTCTGCTTATAAAATGCGTGTTTTTTTTTCAACTGACATAATAATAATTTGCCAGTTTTACTAATGCTTATATATAGGTTATATAATTATATAGTAAGTTATATATACATAAAACTAGTTTTGCAGTAATCACTATTTTGAAACAGAAAGCTTTAAAATCAACATGAACGAGCCGTTGATTAATGTTTGTTTAAATTACTGTCATTTTCAGAGCTTTGAGCGGGGTTCTAACCCCCACCTCAACCACTAACAAATCTCTCTATACCGCTGCAAGGATCATTTTTACTGAAATCATACCGAACCACCACAAGCAAGGCGTCTTTAGTGCCAGCAACTGCAACTGAATCAAAATCAACGTTTAAAACATCACTTACTGATAAATATGCTACACACAAAGACACTATACTGAAATTGTAATAGATGTATTCAACACACTTTACTCAAAAAAAATCCAATAGTTGTGTTACACACACTATCCTAGAAAAATGGGAGGGGGGTGTGCATATCCGTGTGTAGTAGAATTACACTTGTCTTTGATTCAGTTGAAAAAGTAAACAAATTTTATTCCGAAAATCACTGAGGCTTTGAATGGAATGAAAGAATAAATGACAGGCTACCTCTCGAGTAGTCTGTTCACTTTATATTTAAAGCTCTTTGAATGAATGTAGTCTACATCTTCAAAAATAGAATAAATGGCGCCATCTCTCGGCAAACTTATCTCCATCATCTCGACTGCTACCTATGTAAACATTGAACACACCCAATCATTCGAGAAGATGGCGTCTGTTTTAGAACAGATAAAATGATGGTTTTGATTTGATTATGCGACAGTAATCACGGGCTTTGTGATGGGTGTTTTTGTAATGAAGCTGCCACACTCGTCATTAGTGTACACCCCCCCTACCCACCCCCCACCCCATACCTAATTAGATATACCCCCGGGTTAACCCAGACATCCCATTTCAAATCACACAGTGTCAACCAACTATACTCTAAAACTGAGAACGGAATGTGTTTACATCTACAGTGCTTTGTTACTGTTCTATTGTCTCTGTCATTTTACGTAGGGCAATGGCTTTTTTCGTTATCACATTTTTTATTCATAGTTTCCTGATTGTAAAAACATGTTTACACTTATATTATTATTTTTATTATTATTTAATGTCGGAATGTTTTTGGTAGTGTTTGTTCCTTTACTTTGTATTAAACTTTGTATTAAGCTTCCTTATTTTTCATGCACCTTGATTGTAGAAACGTAATGTAAAACAGTGTGTACGGTTTAGAACATAAAGCTTTCAATAATTTGAGATAAACTTGTGGGTGATACAATTTAGGGGGGGGGGCTGACTTTTGCGATGCTGGTAGACCTCTACCGTTCAAAGAAAACGCCTTTGACTTTCAAAAGATCTAGCGTGTAGCGTAGGCCCATTGCTAATTTCTTGAACTTAAACTCCACAGATGAAAGTTACAGATGAAAAGTCTTTAATGGTTGACTGGTTTATTTGCGAAAATATCATGATAAAGCTTGCACCACATAGGCAAGGACTGCTTTCAATACGACTATTTTGACGGAGACATACACACCTTGCTGAGGCTCAATGAGTCACTGCTTAAAAATTCCTACAACACAAAAACTATCCGGAAACATGTTCACATCTAGACTTCAGGGCTAACTCTAAGGACTAACTTTTGAACAAAAATGTCCAAGTTACTATTATATCATCTCGACACTCTCGTACCCCAAATAACATAATACGTTCACCTCATAAAACCTCCACAACACAAATACTCTCTACCCCAGCAATACACCACTCACTTTACACAAATACTCTCTACCCCCCTCCCCCCCCCCCCCCCCCCAAAAAAAAAAAAACACAACTTTCACTTTATCACCTTTGGTTGACGTGAACATTGTGACCATGGAGCGATCGATAACTTGTTATTTACAGCTTTTAATTAATAGCCAGCAACCAAAGTCATTAGCATATTCATCGCCATACTAATGAACAGCCCACAACGGGTTGTCAAGTGGTTGCCGGTTACAGCCCAACAATTGGTTGCCAAGTGGTTGCCAAGTGGTTGCTTATTACAATCCAATGACTGGTTGCCAAATGGTTAGCTGTTACAACCCAAAGGCGGGTTGTGAAATAATTGACCGTTACAGTCTAACGTTGGGCTGCCACGAGGTTGTGTGTTTTATCGAATGGTTGGGATACTTGCTCGTCTGGTCGGCAATGCAAATAAATATCGTCAGCTGTTGTACAAGTCATGACTCAATCTGTTGCTGTTTTTTTATATCTGAGTGTTTGGGGGGGGGGGGGGGGGGCGACAATAGAGCGAGGTGGCAACTGGTTCATTCTATTGGATGCCATCAATACATAGTCATCATTACATGGTCATCATTACATGGTCATCATTACATGGTCATCATTACATGGTCATCATTACATTGTCATCATCACATGTTCATCATTACATGTTCATCATTACATGGTCATCATTACATGGTCATCATTACATGGTCATCATTACATGGCCATCATTACATGGCCATCATTACATGGCCATCATTACATGGTCATCATTACAAGGTCATCATTACATGGTAATGTATGTATTATATATAAATAATAATATAAATTATATTTATTATATGGTCATTTTATGGTCATTATTATATGGTCATTATTAAATGGTGATATCATTATGTGTTCTTCATTATTCATTTTATGTCAATTCGCTCGCTGTATCGGATCAACAAAATTCAAATCAAATACCGGTATCGATACTCCCGTTCAATAAATAATCTCAAGTCAAAGTTCTGTAACTTTAATTGGCCTTTAAACCTGACGCTTAGACCGAAAGGCGACTAAAAATAACTACTAACACAAAACACACGTGTGTGCCTTATATTCATGTTTCTGTCAATACTAGAATAAATAGTAAATAAATACTGATGTACGTTTTAGAGTACAATTTCAAATGCTTCATATCCTTAAAAAACTAGTAAAAATTGATATTATGTAATAAACTATTAACTAGGTCTAGTATTGCTGATGCCTAATCCTTTATCCTATACCCAAATCCTAACTCATTAATTAACTAATTAAACGTGACTCACCAATGTCGTCAGCGCATCTTCCAATGCCGAGTACAGCCAACAGCAACCCTAGGAAAAGGTAACCCATCTCTATGAAGTTCCCTCGCGCAAATGAGCGTTGTCTGCCCCTTGTTGTGAATACCGATGGCTTGGCGTGACCTTTGACACTGGCGGTAAATAAGGTGAAGGCAGCAGTGTAGCAGTTATTAGTACGGGCTGGGGTGGGAAGGAGAGGCCTGAGCTGTAGTGCAATATGGGAAAAACACGAGAGGAGGGGAATTACATTTGTAATGCTAGGCTATCCGGGAATAGAAATGAGGACTGAGTGTGTAAGTACTAGTGCAACGTGACCCATTTGTTGAATCAAAATAACGAAGCATGGCTGGTATTGTAATTTAATAGGGTGGCCGTCTCCACATTGCACCCCTCTGCTGAAAAGTGTTTCTTCCAGACTTTTTTCTCCGGGGGAGGGGGGGGGCGGAACTTGATTTTTTCGGAGGGGGGGCGTACACTGGTAAAAGTATATGTTTCCTTTATAAATTCCATCTCGTTCGGGGGGTGGTAGACTTTCTTTGGGTGGGGGGCGAAGAGATGCCTGGAAGAAACTCTGGTCATTAGAAGAGAGGCGGTCTCCACCACAACACCCCCTTCCCTCCCCCTCCACACACACGTCGTTTGGTTGATAATAATATTCTCCACGTGCAACCCTCTCATGTCTGTTGTTATTTATGAGGTCTTTTTTTGTAGGGCATGGGGTCCTTTCTCTTGGACTTATGATCTGACTTCTGCCCCACATTCAGCTACAAATATTGGCGGCTAAGCGTTTGTTGGCGAATATTTTCAGTTTCTAATTGGATAATTCGATAACATTTTTAATCAATTCATATCAATAAACCAGTTCTCTAGATCAGATCGCTTCGAAATTTACAGGTGCAGTAACAGTTTTTAAAAAGGTAGAACAAATACTAAACCAGCAGTTTCCCCCCACCCCTTGAAGAGATACCCGGAAGAAACCCTTAAACCAGTATGAGTGACGTAGAACCCTACCTCCTTTCATATCGCTGTTAACACTTCAATGGAGCAATATGGTCTTAAAAGGTAAAGAAATTGTATTGCGGGTTGTTATTTTTTTTATTCAACCTTGACGATAAGGCTCCTGAAGAGGCTCTAGACGAAAACATTATTGTGCTGTTGTATCTTTGTATTCATCGGCTTAGATAACGTAAAGTTTGCTTAAACAGGGCATTGGGGTCCAAGGAACATAGGGACTCTATCTCTCCTTGAAAAAAAATTGTTTATACAAAACAAAAATTTAATTGGAAATCAGCTTTTTTTTCTGCAGTAGAAAATATTATAAAATCCGTAACATTAACATACAAACGAAAAAATTTATATATATATATATATATATATATATATATATATATATATATATATATATATATATATAAAGCTCAATTCTGTATGTAAAACTACATATGTTAGTCGTTGACATACTTTGATGGATTAAAGTGTTAGACTATTATCGTGCGCATTTGTCTAAATTTATGAGTTAAAAAATTTCTATTGAAAGTGTTGGGAAATAATTTTCATTTTTCAAACTGATAGTAATAATTGTCGGCATGTTCATAAAACACAAGTTTTAAAAAAATATCACCTTTTACAAAAATTCTAATTATGTCTTTATTTAGTCCTATAGCACTTACTTCCCTTTGATAAATTAGGAAAACACAATTACTTCCCTTTATAAAACCATTGCATTAGTGGAAAAGAATTTACTTTTTATTACTTTGTTTTGGTGTTGGGAAAAAAATAATTACATAATTAGCGGGGATTGATTAAGTGCAAATTGTTGTAGGTATTTTATGGATAAGCTTGGAGGATTATAATTGTTCATTAAATTGAAACAGGCGCGTTCGTTTAAGTGAGTGCAAAAGACTATGAATAAGTTGGGGTACTATAGTCGTTTATTAAGCTAAAACAGGCGATTCCGCCCCGGGCTAGACTGTGAGCACTTTGCGTTTATGTTCGCGTTAGTGTTTTCTTTGTGTTTAGGTTGGGTTTGCGTTAGTGGTTGCGGTTTGATTTGGTTCGTTTTTGTTCTTTCTTTTTTCGTTTTTGTTTGTGTTTTTTTCTTTGGGTTTGTATTTGTGTTTTTGGTTGGTTTTGCGTTTGGATTTGGTTTGTTTTCGTTTGCTTTTTCGTTTTTTTTGTGTTGTTAATGGTTGGTATTGGTGTTTGTGGTTGGGTTTGTTGTTAGTTTTTTTGTTTTCGTTTGCTTTTTTGTTTGTTTTTTTCTTTGTGTTTGTATTGGTGTTTGTGATTGTGGTTGGGTTTGTCGTTAGGTTTTTGTTTTTGTTTGTATTTGTAATTGTGTTAGCGTTATGTTTGCGTTTTGTTGTTTTGGTTGGTTGTGGTTTGGGTGGGCAATGCCGGGTTTATGATGATTACTAAACACACAGGTAATGGTCTTTAACAGAAAGGTTTTTCACAGAAGCCAGAGCAGGGCCTGGCCGGGACGGCTAGTATATATATATATATATATATATATAGGACCCTATATAGTACGAGGTACTACATTATAATATAGAATACATTTACAATCAGGACGTATAAAATACCAATGTACAAATTATTTATTTGATTGAAAACCCCTCCCTCGTTATAAGCAGTAGTCAATTTCTTGGCTGCCCACATATCCTCCCTATGGAGCAATGGATGTAGCTACACCTTTCCGCCCTACTGTTTGGGTATAGAATCTAGTTTTCGTATAGTTTTCGTTTAGTATTGTAGGGCTTACATATATAAACCGAAAATATAGTGTTATATGAAATTGTGTTTGGTATATAGCAAAGTTATGTAACACTAACTTTCAATTATTTTTTAAATTATATTTTACTATAGGCCATGGGGAGTAATGATTGCGCGCACCCCCCCCCCCTACACAAACATGCACACCACACACATACATTTGGGAAAAATAGAGTGCTAATAATATGGTCGTGGAAAATAGTGTTCAATGCAGTCCCTTTCATTATTTATAATAATTTATATATATAATCAACCTAATATTTTCTCAACATGGGTACATTCAGCTGCCCAACATTAAACAAAATTTATCTATGGCTAAATTATACCAAACAAACTGATGATACATTTCACCCAATTAAAAATCAATGCTACAAGTGTTTAGTGGTATCTGGTCACTTAGTTTGTAGGCCGATAAAATGGGAAGAGATTTCGAAAATTGCTTTAGCCCAGTATTTGCCTTCAGGGCTTTCTCTCAAACATTGAGCTGGCTTTCAAACATGGACCAACTGCCAAGACAAACACAAAACTCATGTCAGCAATCAACTGGCTTTCAAACATGAACCAACTGCCGACAAACACAAAACTAATGTCAGCAACTAACTGGCTTTCAAACATGGACCAACTGCCTAGACAAACACAAAACTAATGTCAGCAATTAACTGGCTTTCAAACATGAACCAACTGCCGACAAACACAAAACTAATGTCAGCAACTAACTGGCTTTCAAACATGGACCAACTGCCTAGACAAACACAAAACTAATGTCAGCAATTAACTGGCTTTCAAACATGGACCAACTGCAAAGACAAACACAAAACTCATATCAAAAGTTAACTGAATGAAAATTTCTGCAGAGTTATCTTGTTAATTTAAATATTTACAATTAACAATTTAACATACCAACATTTTTAATAGGTATAAAATGCTAAATTAATTTGAAAAACAGAAAAAAGCAACAATAACAATAAATTAGTAATTAATTATCTGAAAATTTTATTCAACAAATTATTTGATATCATCAGATTTAAGCTTTAAAACCTACATTATAAATATAATGATCATAGGCAAAGATTAATTGGCTCCATTAACATGTATTTAGTCAGCACAACCAATATTCTTAGAATCAGTTTATCAAAAGAAGTCATTCAAACACTTCATATCCATTAACAGAAAAATGCATTATGCAAATCAGATTAAATAGATTAATTAATTATTGTCCCTTCTGCACTAGTGGATTCTGAAAGATTAAAGTAAAAATGTAGATCTATATAAGTTCGGACATTTTATGTCAATCAAATGAACACATGCATTAGGCAGTATTTCCTATTTCAAACTGCTAATAAATGTTTAAATCAGCAAGAGAGCCACTAAACACACTAGGTAAATCATGACTGTGACAAAACTGCCATTTAAACCTGTTTGATCATTTTTATAACTGTTGATGCGTTCAGCTGAGCAAAGCTTAGCTTGCGCTAAATTGTAATTGAGGCCACCACACAGAATGTCTGCCTTCATTTCTTCTGTGCATTTCTTGTCGAGCTGGCTGACCACCCAGTAGTTGCAGAACCTCTGGTAGTATTTGCTCTTGTGGTCAGCTTTCAAGTTTTCAAAGATTTTCCTCAAGGATGGGACGCTCATGTCTGGAACATCATAGGCGGTGGTGAAGCTGTAGAGCTCGGTCTAGTGAGGGAGTAGTTCAAGTTGATTAGGAGTAACATTAGTGCATGCATGTGTGTGGTCATATGGCATTGTGGTGACTAATTTAAATATAGAGTCTGTCCAGCTGTAGTGGGTACTCTACATTAATTGAGAGGAAAGTGAAGCCATTAAAACAGATGGACTCTACTCCATCTGCCCTATTTACTGTCATTTTTCATTGCTGAATTACTGACTTGTCCAATAGGTTTGTATTCTAAATGATGTTGGTGAAATACAGATGATGAAATACTGACTTACCCAGTTAGCTTTGTTTTCTTTATTGGCATCTGTGATGTTGGTGAAGTACTGAGTGTAGTCCAGGTTGACACCGGTGACCCTGTTGTACTTGACCAGTCGAATGCCAGGGTTGTGAGCATCTCCTGTCTTTATTGGTATCTTAAACCTCCATGGTGTTACTGATGGGGCATTAAACTGGGTTACTGCCCTTTCACCTGTTAGAGAAGTGAAAGGTTATGTAAACTTATCATTGATACCAATGGTATCTGCCTCAAGTCTAGGCAAGTAGTAGTATATGTAGCAGTATATGTACATACAACTTACTACTGCACAAGCCCTATATACATCACAGAAAAGTCCGACAAGTAGCAGTATCTGTACATACAGGTTACAGATGTACCATCCCTTCATCACAGAAAGTTGAACTCTACATCAACCACCTCATGGCTGAACTCTACAACAACCACCTCATGCCTGAACTCTACATCAACCACCTCATGGCTGAACTCTACATCAACCACCTCATGCCTGAACTACATCAACCACCTCATGGCTGAACTCTACATCAACCACCTCATGCCTGAACTCTACATCAACCACCTCATGCCTGAACTCTACATCAACCACCTCATGTCTGAACTATACATCACCTCATGCCTGAACTCTACATCAACCACCTCATGGCTGAACTCTACATCAACCACCTCATGCCTGAACTCTACATCAACCACCTCATGCCTGAACTCTACATCAACCATCTCATGCCTGAACTTTACATCACCTCATGCCTGAACTCTACATCAACCACCTCATGGCTGAACTCTACATCAACCACCTCATGCCTGAACTCTACATCACCTCATGCCTGAACTCTACATCAACCACTTCATGCCTGAACTCTACATCAACCACCTCATGCCTGAACTCTACATCAACCACCTCATGCCTGAACTCTACATCAACCACTTCATGCCTGAACTCTACATCAACCACTTCATGCCTGAACTCTACATCAACCACCTCATGCCTGAACTCTACATCAACCACCTCATGCCTGAACTCTACATCAACCACTTCATGCCTGAACTCTACATCAACCACCTCATGGCTGAACTCTACATCAACCACTTCATGCCTGAACTCCACCTCATGCCTGAACTCTACATCAACCACTTCATGCCTGAACTCTACATCACCTCATGTCTGAACTCTACATCAACCACTTCATGCCTGAACTCTACATCAACCACCTCATGGCTGAGATATGGGATGGCATGGTAGAGTGCTCTATTTCTAGCTTGGGGGTCTCGAGTTTGATCCCGGTCTGGACTTGCTACTATAGGATGCTTTGTGTCCACCCAGGTCTATGTGTTACCCAACTCACATTAGGGAAAGTAAAGGCGGCTGGATTTAGTGCTGACCACACCATCCCTCCAACAAACGTGTGAACTCTTCTACATCTGCCTTGTGGATCGTTAGGTCTTAAGACAGTGGAAGGTAAACTTTATGTCTGAAATGCTACAATTTCTTTAAAATTCTGCTGCTATGTAAAAATAATGTAGCTGATGTGTAGTGATTGCAAAATTGTACCTTTCTCATCTTGTAAGATTTTAAAGCTATCCATATGGTCGTGTCCATAGTGAGTTGCCACAATAATATCAGAATAGTTGTGGATGATATCCATAAAAGATTTCTTAAAGTGTGGATAAAACCAATCCGCATATCCTGGGAATAGAAGGCCAGGTGGGACGTGGCCAGTCACAAACACCTGTAGCAAGCCAAAAATTTAAATATTATAAACAAAAATAGGATTTATAATTTCCTCATAACTAGTTTAAAAATTACTAAACAGATTTTTAAATCACATAGCAAAAACATTCAGCAGCGGGTTTTTTAAATCTCCCAGCTTCTCAACATCTATCTATATACTACTATGCTAGATATGTGAGAGGTAGGTCTCTCTGATTTTGGTGTGAAGCCTTCAGTACAGTGTGTGTCTATATTGATATGGGAGACACCTCTGTTTGAGGTGGTATTTAAAGGATATGCATCATGTTCGGCTCAAGCGTTACCTTCTCTCCTTTATTTTTAGCACTTTGCAGCTGTTGCTTCATCCACTTGAACTGGTCAGTGGGGTCAGTCATTTTGGCGGTCAGCTTGTCAGTGGTGTAGTACATGTTAGTGTTCAGTGCCAGAAGTCTTAGGCCAGGTCTCACAATCACAGAGTAGTACCCGCCTGCATGAGAAATAAAGATTTTAGTACCAACCTATATGTATATATAATATATATCAATATATATATATATATATATATATATATATATATATATATATATATATATATATATATATATATATGTGTGTGTGTGTGTGTGTGTGTGTGTTAGGTAGGTATTGAGTTACTGATGAAGAGAGATGGTGGTGGTATTATTTTCTCCGTGCATCCTTGTGGGTCAAGGAGGTTTACCAGACCTTTGCCAAAAATAATCAATACGTCTAAACAACACCAATATTAAACTATAAATGAAACATGCTAACCCACATTTCAATATATTTATTTACCTATTCCAGACGATCCAAAAGATTAAAGTGTTTCAATAATCAGAACGTATAACAATATCATCACTCTAGATACTTTCAGTACCGGTACTCACAAACTACCCAGCCAGACATACAGCTACATGACAGTGACTGTCAACAGAACAGCTTCTCGACGACAGCCTCAGGTTGACATCACAATAGGTACTGGACAGCATCTTGCTGACAGGTACAGCGACAGCAGCTCACAGGACAGGACAAGTCGACATCACGACGACACTCCAGGTACAGCAACAGGATCTCACACGACAGGACAGGTCAACATCACGACGACAGGTACAGCGACAGCATCTCTCCGACAGCTTCTGCACCCTCTAGATATATATATATATATATATATATATATATATATATATATATATATATATATATATATATATATATATATATATACATATCCCCTCCTAGTACATCCCCTGCTATACATCCCCTAGTACATACCCTGGTACACATCCCCTGTATACATCCTTTACTCCAAGACTTACCCTCCTTGACAAAATAATTCTCTTTCTTGTTGCCCACAGTCTTGATGATCCAGTCCCTCCACATGTCATCAATGCCCCTGTAGAACTCATCCTCTGTGTAGTTGGCTTGACCGTTGGGGTAGAAGTCATGGTTGCCCAGGGATGCGTAGACGGGCGCTCCCACAAAGCTGGTGTTGAGCAGGTCGGTGATGTTCTGGATGATCTGAAGGTTCAGCTCAATGGACATGTCCTTGTTAGCTATGTGGGCCACAGTGTCTCTATAAGGAGATATTTTTTGAGAGTGTTCCTACAAGGATTAAATATTTGTTGAGAGTGTTCCTAAAATAAACAATTGATGTCTGTGTCCTTTGACTTACCCCGTCCAAATGAGAAAGTCCACATCATGTTTGATGCGAGCCTTACTTACCCCGTCCAAATGAGAAAGTCGACATCAGGTTTGATGCGAGCCTTACTTACCCCGTCCAAATGAGAAAGTCGACATCACGTTTGATGCGAGCCATGCTTTTAACACTGTCAGTGACCAGGGCCCAGGTGGCATCACACCAGTAGTCGCCGAACGTCTGCAGGGCTGGCACCTCCTCGTTACAGGACAGCTTGCTGGTCGCGTACGTGTGGTCATAGTGGAAGTCGGTCACGTGCCAGAAGTAGCCTGGGGGAGGGGGGAGATGGTTATGGTCAGGTGAGTAAGGTCAAGGGGAGGGGTCTTGTGTTTGTGACGGTAGGGGGGGGGTGAATTTAGATGAGGAGACGGGTATGAAGGTAGGGAGTAGGTAGTGTGAAGGTAGGGAGGGAGTAGTGTTAAGTGAGAGAGAGGAGTAGGGAGGAGGTAGTGTGCAGAGTCTTAAGTGAGACGGAGGTGAGGATTCAAACGTGTGTGTTAGTGAAGTTAGAGAAAGAGGAGTATATTATTTTAATTTAGCTGAGGAACTTTCAAAATGCCAGTCTTTTTCATGAATTCTAGTGTTGTGTTTTTGTTGTTGTTGTTGTTTTGTGTCAACAGCCCACCAAACCGGGCCGCATTTTCTTGCGTTATTTTAGTTCCCCAACTCTCACTTTAGAACGATGCCGTGTGATTGTACAATGTTCATTTTTAGCTATTTCATGACATGAGCTTTGGTTTTAAGTATAGGATTTGTGAGGGGTGTTCTCGTGATTTTTGTGGTGTGTTCTCGTGATTTGTGAGAGGTGGTCTTATGTTTCAGATTATAAAAGGACATAACGTTCACTTTTCAGAGTCACAGTGATAAAACATTGCGGCATTTGTTGGAAAATAATAACGAGTTGAACTTCTAAAAGAAGTGAGGGGGGAGAGAGAGTGTGTGTGTGTGTGTGCAGTGGATTAAATCAACAAATAGAATGTTTATATGTCACAAGCAAACATGTTTTATATTTAGACAGAGCTTTTAACAGAGGTTTCGCAGATGTTGGCATCGCTTATCTACTTTGTTGTTCATAAATTATGTTGGTATTGTGCATGCACATTCCTTCAGTAAAGTTGACTAAAGATAACGGCCTGTGCACCACCACATTAATGTAAAGTAGGTCTACATCCCAGCAGAACCAAATAAACAATCATCATTGACATGGCATTAGACAAATAAAATTGCGATTCGCTATGAACCATAACTCTTGTCAGGAACCCTAACTTCGGTTAGATTATCATCTGACATAATGACATATTTTATTACCGACAAATACTTTCGCACTTTAACAAAAATAAAACGCGTGACATTCATTTTATTGTTCATAATCTTCACGAAAATTTCCCAAAAACAATTTAGAAAACATAAAATAACATACACCAGGACAGTAATATTTTCCAGCAAACACTTGTTTACAGCGTGAGGCTAACACAGATGGGGTGGGGGGGGGGGGGTCTCGAAAAAACACACCCAACGTCCGGGCAGATGTCCCAATAAAATTTTTCGGGGGGGGGGGGGGGCGGTAGACTTTCTTCGGGGGGGGGGGTGGACACTGTTAAAAGTATATATTTTCTATATGAATTATATAAATTTCATTTCGTTCGGGGGGGGGGGGGCGGTAGAATTTGCCTGGAAGAAACTCTGATTTCACCCATAAATTAAGGAGACGGCCATTGGCCGGACAGGACATTAAATCGAAACACAAAATCATGCTCACACCTAGGGTCCGGTCAGGCTGATCTCCGGCCGCAGTCCACGACTGCGCACGCTCATAATTTAGCTCGTGACACCATGGCAGACCCCGCGCCCTGAGAACCGGGCGCCATCATGTGGTTTAGGGGTGGGGGAAACATTAGCCAAAAAAAACGAGTAAAATAACCAGCCAACATGCTTACTTAAGAATCAATAATAGAGTACCATCCAATATATATAACTACTAAAACACACGTATGTGCCTTATATTCATGATTCTGTCAATACTAGAATTAATACGGATGTACCGTGTTAGAGTACAGTTTCAAATCTTTCATATTCGGGGGGGGGAGGGACACTGGTTTAAAGCGTGTTTTCTATATAAAATTGTTTTTTTTTTCTATTTCGTTTTGACGGGGGGGGGGGGCGGATAACCTTGCATTCCCACCCCCAACCCCCAACCCCCCAAAAAAAGAAGCCTAATAAACTATGAAAGGAAAGAATGTGTTACGATACTAGTAAAAATTGCTATTATGTAACAAACTGTTAACTAGGTCTAGTATTGCTGATGTCTAACTAACTTTATCATTTACCCAAATCCTAACCCTAATTCTAACAATAAAACTGAAATAACAATGTTAAAAATGACCTTCAACTCGGTTCTGTGTCAATCGGTATTAGGCCTGTCTAATTAACTCATTAATTAACTAATTAAACGTGACTCACCAATGTCAGCGCATCTTCCAATGCCGAGTACAGCCAACAGCAGCCCTAGGAAAAGGTAACCCATTCCTAAACAGCTCCTTTGCGCAAACGAGCGTTGTCTGCCCCTTGTTGTGAATATCGGTCATTGGGCGCGACCTTTGACACTGGCGGTAAATAAAGTGAAGGCAGCGGTGTCGCAGTTATTAGTACGGGCTGGGGTGGGAAGGAGAGGCCTGAGCTGTAGTGCAATATGGGAAAAACACGAGAGGAGGGGAATTACATTTGTAATGTTAGGCTATCCGGGAATAGAAATGAGGACTGAGTGTGTAAGTACTAGTGCAACGTGACCCATTTATTGAATCAAAATAACGAAGCATAGCTGGTAGTGTAATTTAATAGGGTGGCCGTCTCCACATTGCACCCCTCTGCTCAATAGGGTGGTTTTCACCTTTCCCTGCAGTGTTTCTTCCAGACTTATATATATGTAACTTACGTAATGGGGTACTACATTATAATAATACAGACTACATTTACAATCAGGACGTATAAAATGCCAATGTACAAATTATTTATTTGATTTAAAACCCCTCCCTCGTTATAAATAGTAGTCGATTTCTTGGCTGCCCACATTTAACTCAACTGTAGCCTAACGGCTGACGAAGGGGCCCACTGATAATTTGCGTGTAAAGGTCCCGAAAATCCTAGCTGTTGATTTCGCTATCTTTGAAGTTTCAACGTTAATACACTCAATGTTTGCACGTGACAAAGTGGGCACATACTGTTTGGCTATTTCAGTTGAATCAATCAGGGACTTCAGTCAACAGCAGCATCATGGCTGCCTTCGCATATCGTATGACATATATTTGACTTAATCCTGTGAAGCCCCTGAGGAGCAATGGGATGTAGCTACACTTTTCCGCCCTACTGTTTGGGTGTAGCTTTCGTTAAATCGTTTAGTATTGCTTACATATAGATCTATATACCGAAAATATAGTGTTTTATATGAAATGGTGTCTTGGTATATAACAAAGTTATATAACACTTACTTTCAATTTTTTTTAAACTATTGTAATGTTTTCGCTGCAACCAAATGTAATGTTCTTTCTTCTTCTACAGCTTCTTGCTCTCAGTTACAGAAGATTAAAAATGCAGAAGTCGTCTGTAAATATTTATTTCACTGTGCAAACAGTACAGTATCTGGCTTGACCGGGAATTGCCTGTGTAGCGTGCATCTAAACTTGTGCTGCATAAATTACTGGCTAGGGCCGTCGTTTCTCCATCCCCTCTAAGGCTAACCCGCCGGTTTATACACCCCACCCCTGAGTGTCTCGGTTGAAACCTTGCTTTCGGCGCAAATTCTAGCGCTTACCTGTGAAAATCTCCCCTGTTTTTGTGCTAACCTACCCCAAATAACTCTATATAAAAACTTGACGCGATCTCCTAGAATTGTAACAAATCCTAACATGAACTACAGGCAATCCCCTTTACAATGATATAAATTACATAAAACATAAATAAGTGGTTCATAAACAATAATACCTACAACATGCAAACAATGTAAAAATCATTACGTATACCTAATCAAAGTGGATTTCCATAATATTGTCTCGGTCCAAACTAACACTAAGATATTCTAATTATTAAAGATATATCTTGGCCTAATAGTCCATCCGATTTTCATGCTATATCAACAACTATTTATTATGATAGGAATTATTTTTTTCTTGCCCTACTAAGCACAATTGACTCATTCCTAACAAATTCACTACACTACCAGCGATGGGGAGTAGTGATTACGCCAACCCCCCCCCCTCATCTACACACACACACACAGACACGCACCTTTGAGAAAATAGAGTGCTAATAATAATAATACTGTGGAAAATACATGAAATCAGAACAGAGGCGTAGCGACCCTTCCCGGCGCCCGGGGACAAACTTTCGATTTGCACCCCCCCCCTCGAACTTTTGGTTTGCACCCCCCCCCCCTCAAACTTTCGATTTGCACCCCCCCCCCTCGAACTTTTGGTTTGCACCCCCCTCAAACTTTCAATTTGGCGCCCCCCTATGGTCGGCGCCCGGGGATATATGCCCCCCGCCCCCCCCCCCCCCTGACTACGCCTCTGAATCAGAACAATTTAAATGATTGTCACAATTAATTAGCCCACCTTTAATTCTAAGATGATTTTATAGGTAAGTAACCTACACTTTCAGATCTGGCAGTCCGTAGGGCAGATGAAGTAGAGTTCAGCTATCAAGTGACCTCGGCATGTAATAAAGGACAGTGTTGCCAGCACTATACCCAGGCACCCTTACTCTAATTAACCTAACTCAGGAATTCATGAGAGCTGGGTAAACTCAGGGACGTCCGACAGACTCGAATCGTGGACCCAAACTCGAGACTTTCGGGCTATCAGTCGTGTGTATCACCGCCAGACCACGACGTCCCATATCAACATAGGTAGTGGCCCCTTAAATATTTACCTGGGTACCCTGCTGAAACAATGTCGTAAATAATAGAGTGACCTCTCCTTGCCTCTCGCCTCTGTGCATCTCTGTAATCGTTTGGTTCTTGTCTCTTGATGAACCTTGTTGAGTGTGCTGACTGATGTGTTGACACAAACACAGAGATAAAAAGTTCCAAACGGGACTTGAACTAAACAACATGACTGTTTGATACGATATCATTTTTTAAAACATTAACCATTTAACTTTTTTTTAAAATTTAAATAAATTACATAAGAAAATAAAGAGCAGCAACGCGAAGCACAGGGGGAGGGCTCATAATGCAAAATGGGAGGAGGATAGTATTTTTTTTTAAAGTTAACCATTTTGTAAACGATGTGCAAATATTTCAGCAAACTAGCTCGCATTACTATTTTCTAAGAGGATTGGGTACAGTGTTTCTTCCAGACTTTTTTCTCCGGGGGAGCACTTGAAATTTTCGGGGAGGGGGGGGGGCGGTAGACTTTCTTCGGGGAGGGGGGGGGGGTACACTGTTAAAAGTATATATTTTCTATATAAATTATATAAATTTCATTTCGTTCGTGGGGGGGGGGGGCGTTAAAAAAAATTCGGGGGGGGGGGGGGGACGAAGCCCCCCGAAGAGATGCCTGGAAGAAACTATGATTGGGTAGGGTGTATATTGAAGACAATGAGTTTTGCTTGTGATTTGTGATTAGCCTATATCAGTTAAGAGAATGTTCTCTCATAAGATATAGAAAGTTGTTGTTTTTTTTTAATTCAAGGGAACAAACTATGTCAGTCATGCGCTCTATCAGTATTAAAGTAGCGCCCCCTGATTTTATTTGGTGAACAGAGTTTAATGATTACTCGCCATCTGGATACAAACCTCAGCGAAATCAGACACTGTTCTTCTGGCATCTCTACGAGTGTATTGCTCTCCCTCTCCCCCTAGTACCAGTAATATCAGCCTCTCCTGAACCTTATCGGTGACATCATTATCCTCATCATCATTCATGTGGGCCCACCACCATATTATATAACAAATACAGAAATCAACCCATACACACAGAGCAATACGGTACCTGTAAGTTGTCGGGAAATGTGTCATTAAGCAACGAGAAGAGAACATTTTGAAAAATAAAATCGATTTCATTTTTTAAAAGTGTTGTATTAAAACTAACACTGCTTTTGACCACCCCCGCCCGCCATATAACACAATAAAACAATATGATAAGCCACCACCTACTACCCCACAAATTGGTGTTATAATATACACGAGCTCCAGCAGTTTGACGACATTGAGTAATGTGAGAAAAAACGTTTCTAGTTTAGCCTATCCTCTTAAACTTTTTATTTCACGAATAAAATGTAGTAAAGTCTACCCACTTTTTAGGCTTACCGTGTAGGTCCCATCGATTGTGTGTGTGTGTGTGGGGGGGGGGGGGGGGGGGGGGTTAAATATTAAAAATAAATTTGATATTAAAAATGCGAACCATATTTGGCACTATATCGAATACTTTGTTCTTCTATCTAAATGTTAGCTCCCTTGTATATCAGTACAAAGTATACACTTATATTTATGATCTAGGCGAGGTCTCCGATTGTTTTAACTTAAGTTTTAACTTTAGTTTTAAGTATTAAATACATTAATATATAATTGTATCTAATTGAATCAAATTACACGAGGCAAAACTTATTCACTTAGTTTAACAAAAGAATATTTAAAATGCCTAAAGAACGAATCCAGAAGAAATCAAGAATCCACCAACAAACAGCTCAAGTTCAGAGATCTGCAACCCAAGTCCAACGACAAGGTAAGTTGTATGTTAAAAAATGTTAGAAAATCTTTCAATATCGTCTCAACTGTGTAATAAGGCTACTAGCTACTTTTAACAATATCTAGTAACGAGCTGACCTGCTACGTAGTATACGCCGCCATCTAGTTGTTTTATTTTCTGCTTATCTGGCTTATCTTATCCAGCAATTCATAATCTGTGAATTCAACACTACGCCCTTCCCACCCCCCCTCCTGCCCATTGAAAGCAGCCGTTTACAGACAAAGAAAAGATCAATCAGAAATTGTTACCTCCCCCTTTGTTTCAAATCATTTAATACTAAATTATCTGCCCCTAAAAAAGCCATCACTAACCCCGACTATAACCCGGCTCTACGATTGTAAACATTCGGGATGAACCACAACTCACCTGACAGGTGGGGATGAGGGTGGTGGCTAAGCTGCGTGGTGTTTTCTATGGTCTCCACGAAGAGAATTATATATATAGTTAATATAGACTAGTAAGCTAAGTCCTGGTAGTAAAACTCCATTTTAGCGTATTTTATTCGCAGCTTCACGTTCACCTCCGGTTGAGTGTATTTTATTATAAACACAACCAAAATACACAAAAATGTTAGGTAGCTACACAGTGCACTCTCATTCATAGTGTGTGACAGTAGTGAAGTGCTACATAATTCTAGGATTCTAGGATATAACTTATAAGCCTATTAAAATTAATTTAATTTACAGCAGGCTTCAATTTACTGTTAAAAACACAGCATATTAGATTAGAAGATTTTGTTTTACTATTAGCTTTTGTCACAAAACTCTTACTTAGTTATAATAATTAGGCTAACTAAAATTTTGGTGTTTATATTACATTAGTCTATTTGTCAGTAACGGACACAATAAAATATGTTTGACATTATGTAACTTATTAGTTAACTGACTTTCCCTTTTTACTCATTCAGGAATAGCTTTTAGAACAGAAATTGGACAGCATATTTTAAAGAATCCAATGATTGTTGTCAACATGGTTGAAAAGGTAGTCGATTTTTTTTTTTAAACTTTCAAATAAATATAATTAATGTTTTTCTTTATCATAATGAATAAACATTTTCCTATACATTTGTCATAGGCCGCTCTACGCCCTACAGATGTTGTACTTGAAGTTGGTCCTGGTACTGGTAACATGACCGTCAAGCTATTAGAAAAAGTTAAAAAGGTAGCTTTAAGCATTTAAACAGCCTATCAAAAACTTACATGCATCTGAATTTAAATAAATTTAAAAGTAGGCTCATCTTTAAAGTAAATTAAAGATTCCATTTAAGACCTAGTGATCCATAGGGCAAATTAAGTAGATTTATTATTTATTTTTTATGTATAATTTTATTTTATTCAGGTGATAGCTTGTGAAGTTGACCCTAGAATGGTGGCAGAGTTACACAAAAGGGTTCAAGGGACGTAAGTGTCATTTTACTCATCCAATTCCAAATGATGGCAATATATCTGATATTTATTTCTTAGCTAATAATTAATTAAATTTCAGTCCCGAAGCCTCAAAGCTGCAGGTGATGGTAGGCGATGTCCTAAAAACAGATTTACCTTTCTTTGATGTTTGTGTTGCCAACTTACCCTATCAGGTTGAGTAAACCACAATTTTATTGTTTGCTTTAAAATCTCCATTTCTGTTGTTAAGCTACATTGTATACTTTTTGAGGCGCTAGCAGTGAAATTTTATGTTATGGGTTTTTTCTTTTTCAGATTTCTTCCCCTTTTGTCTTTAAACTTCTCCTACACAGACCATTTTTTAGGTCAGTCAACGTTAGTAATTAGTGGTTGTTATTAGACCTGAATTAGATAAACATTTTTAGTGACTAATTTTGAGTTGGATTTTTTTTATATATATATAGGAAAAATAAATTGTAACAAAGATTGGAAAATTGTCGGCTGAAATAAATGTTCTCATTTGTTACAGGTGTGCTGTACTGATGTTTCAGAGAGAGTTTGCTCAGAGGCTGGTAGCGCAGCCAGGTGACAAGTTATATTGTCGTCTCTCTGTCAACACACAACTACTAGCCAGGGTTGACCACCTCATCAAGGTGTGTATGAGTTTTGCTAAAATAATTATTTCATTTGACTGGCAGAAATGTCTAATACTTGACTGGTTGTTTCTTTAGTAATTAATCAGGTAAAAAAATGGAGATACTTTTCTATATAAACAACATTTTAACCAGTTAATTGTATTTAATGTAGGTTGTTTATTTATATTTTGTTTTTCTTTATTTAAACCATGCCAACTATTTTTCTTTAGGTTGGGAAAAATAACTTCCGACCACCACCAAAAGTTGAGTCTAGTGTAGTACGAATTGAGCCAAGAAATCCTCCACCTCCAATTAATTTTAAGGTAGATGAACCTTCTAATGAATCACTTTCAATGTTATTTTTTATTTACCCTCTTTATTTACAACGGTAATACTTCTTTTGACTTTTAGGAATGGGATGGCTTAGTGAGGATCTGTTTCTCCAGAAAAAATAAAACTATCGGAGCTTCCTTCAGGTTAACTTTTATTTTTACAAATATTTGTACATTTTTCTTTGTCTTACTTATACTAGAGCGATGCAACCAAAAAATTTTTTAATGTGGAGAGTTTATTTACAATGCTAATTCTTACTTTTAACTAAAGTTAAATTGTTTTTGCCTATCTTTTATTGTAGATTTACTAAAGTTTTAGCTGTGTTGGAAAAAAACTTCAGGGTTTCATGTTCTGTAAAAAATGTGGTAAGTAACAGTATGTATTAAAACTAATAAATATATTCTGTCAACCTGTTGATCTTTTTAATGTAAAGCATAGTGGCTTGTATATCAGTAAAGAATCATTAATGTAACAATAAACTTAATTTATGAATGCTTTGTCTTAGACTGTCCCAGATGATTTTAATGTTAAAGAAAGAGTAACAGAACTCTTACAGAAAAGTGGCTTTGAGGAGAAACGAGCAAGATCTATGTCAATAGAAGACTTCATAGAGTAAGTCAAATACTAGATCATCTTTATGGAAATATTACTTTATTAGACTAATGATTTCATATAAAGAAGCTAATAAAATGCTTACATTCTTTACAGATTGCTTAACCTCTTCAATGAAGCTGGCTTTCATTTTATGTGAACAGGTAGAAATGCGATTTTGTTTCTGGGCTTGTATATTGTATAAAGTTTTGGTTTGAAGGTGATTAAAATATATGGATAAAATACTGAGATTGATTATAGTTCTTTCTTGTTAAATTATAGCAGTTATATTTGGAGTTTTTTTTTAAGATTAACGGCTGTTGTGAAAACAGTTATGGTCTGTTTATTCTAATTTATAGTGCATGAAAAGTGAGCAGATCTGTTTATATTGGAGTCCAATATACAGAACTTAAGAAATACAACTAGTTACGGTAAAGATACCCTTTCAAACCTGACAGTTAATACTGTGGTTGATGTTGGGTACTTGTTTCCGGGACCTGGCTAATGAAGGGATAGTGGTTGTTAGTTCTATTCCCAGCCATCTTTACTTTCACTAAATAAGTAATGTACCCCTTAGAGCTATTGGGCAGCATGGCTTAGCAGTAGAGCACTAGACTGCTAAACTGAAAATCATGTGTTCAAGTCACGGAGTCCACCAAGCTCTGATGGGTACCTAAATCATGTTATGGAAAGTAAAGGCAGCTGGGCACAGTACTGACAACACTATCCCTTTATACGCCAAGGTCACAGAAAGAAAGGTGAAGTTTACTTAACTTGCCCCATGGACCGTCAGGTTCAAAAAGGGAACTTCACCACTTGGAGCTGGATGCACCCAGGATCAGTAGGACCCACAAGACTTTTATGTTAGCAGTCCACACTGTCCCACAGGAATACAACTAGTATCTCCTGTTCTAGCTTTATGTTTTATTTAACAAAGTGCTTATGATGACAACACATTTTTGGGCTAAGTTATTTTGCAAAAAAATTAAACAAAAGACAAAACTTCTGTGGGCAATACATTTTTTTCTCTTGTGCTTAATTAAAATAAATAATCATATGTACAAATAAAGCAAATTCTGGGAATTTCTTAAGTGATAATCATCAAATGTCCAACAAAACTAGATAGGTATACTGTGACTGTACACAACAAAAAATAGTCTTTAAAAGGTATCAAAATCCTGGCAACCAGAACAAAATGTTAACACTAACACCCAGTTAACAAAATAGCCAGAGCCAATTTTTAACACAGCCAACAAATTTTACATTGGTAATATCTTGGATGGTTTATTAGACACAATGAGTAATGCATTCCTCCGTCCATATAGCTTTGTTTACATAAGAAATCTTGATCACCTTATAGTATAATTATAATTGATTTTTTTAATGAGTAATGGAGTAACATACCATGTATATATTTAAATTTAACAGTAATAGTTAATGTATTCTTCCCTAAATATTCAATTTAAAAAAAAAAAAAAACTGTGTCACAACTTCTCTTGAGTAATGCTTAGCAATATTAGCAAAATTTGCATGTTTTAAATACTTAATATTCCATCATAGACTTAAAAATAATGACAGTGTATTACCATGGCAATACTAACAATCTTAAATGTAGAGGCTGACAACTGATTGAGAACCATGCCAAGTGGCTGATCATCACTAACCATAACAGTGCATACATATATTGTCTAGTCTACTCTAAAGGTAACACAATCTGGCTCAAATATTGAGGGATTTGAACAGTGTGTTGTAGGAGAACCAATCTATCACAAAACACCTATCTATTGCAATATTTCCATCGATGGATTGGGTAGATACATAAATATAAAATCAAATGTCACAATACATGATGAGTACAAGACTGGAAACATGCTTATATATATATATTGTACAACATTCCAAATGCCCTAATGGTAACAGTCACAGGAAAACAACAAAGTTAACAATGTGAGGTATCATCTTTATTTCATCAACACTTGTGTTCCCAGGGCACTAGTGTGTAATAAAAATACAAAGTAAACAAGATGCCCATCTAAAACGAGGACATACTTTATCAGGTTAATTCTTTTGTTAGAGAACACTATACATTATTTAAGCAGTTTATTAAAACTGAGCAATATTAAAATCTTCTGCATGTTGGCCAAAAAGGTAGCATATCTAAATAATCTAAAACATTTTATTTTCATTTCTTCAAAGGAATAGAGATTATCTATTTTATTCTGCGACAATTCAAGTAATTTAAAAAAAAACTTTAACCTTAAGCTTTCCAAAAAAAATTCTATCACTCATTCAATATTTTTAAGGATGTGTGGTGTTTTTAGACAGAAATGTTTTTTTACATCTTTCAACCATCTAAACAAACTGAATTATATTAATCAACAAAGAATTTTCTTGACATCTAGTTAAGTACCAACAAATAACCTCACAAGCTCACAGCTATTTAAATTTTCTAACAAAATCTGGCCAGTTTGCCCAACACACCAATAACTATCAATTATATTTCCTTTTCAAACATCAATAAAGGATTATCCCTCTGTTTCATTCAAAAATATTTACTGGTGAGAATTTGGGAAATACTGCAATTCAAAAGAAATAAATATTCCTAGTTATTTAATGTATTATTTCAAATATGGTGATCCACTCTATGATTTACATAGCAGGAACGAGTATTTTAATTTAGGTTGTTCAATTTTTTCAGACACATTTGTTGCAAAACAACAGACCAGTATATCATTGCCTATTGGTGACTTCCTTATTTCTACTGACAAAAAAATAGCCACAAATTTATAATTATTTCAAAATTGTATAGAAAAAAACACTTCATGTGCAGCTGCTATAAAATCAAATACATTAACACTGTATAATTTCAACCAAAATTCAAACTTTAAGATGTTTCAAAAAACATTTAAGGGGGGAGATGAAAAATAAAATCACACAGTTGACATATTGATCACAGAACTTAACAATAAAGGACATAATAAAATTTGGTCAGACAATGTCTGCCAGTGGCGCTCCCTAATCTACAATATTGAAGACCAGCTCCATGACAATCCCCTCTTCTGATGCTTGATGGACAATAGGAACAAGGAAAGTGTCCAGGTTATTTATCATTGCAGGTGGCAACAAGTGGCCTTTTGATCCTATTTCATATCCAACCTAAAATAATAAATTATCATCTTACACATTGATATTTCCATTATGTTAATATTCCATCAACTTAACATTATTATTATAACTATTAATTATAACAAATGATTTATTAATTTTTTAAATGCAAAGGATCACTTCACGACATCCTTAGTTCAAAGGCTCTGCAATATTAACATGACAGATCTATCCTTATATATTCTCTCTTTCAAAATTCCTATTTATAAGATCATTATTTTTCATAACAACCAGAAATCATGGAACTTTCTATTTTAGAGACTTTTTTGCCAATAATTTTATATTGCAGATTGTTTATTACCACAACCTTCTAAATCAAATTAATGAAGATCTATTTATAGTTCATTAACAAAGTTCAACTCTAGCAGTTAAAAAAGTTTCCACTAAGGATAAACTTACTGAATCTCTAGCAGTTAAAAAAGTTTCCAGAAAGGATAAAATTAATGAATCTCTAGCAGTTAAAAAAAGTTTCCACAAAGGATAAACTTACTGAATCTCTGGTCAGGTTGACTCTGAGTCCCAGTTTGATTTGACCTTCTTTCTTCAGCTCATCCAAATCTTTGACTAGTGCTGTACAACAAGCCTGGGCAATGTCCTCCGTTAGACGACTTAGGTCTAGCGGATCAAAATGACTAGAAGTGGTGTCCTCATGCTGAAGGAAATAAACTCGAGTCCAACGGATAGCCAGGTTTTCACCAATGAAGTCTGAAGGTGTCTTTACTGTGACACTCTCCACACCCTCTAGTGATGTGTCATCTATGTAACTCTTCACACTGAAAATCACTAGACCCTATTAATATCAGCATATTTTTCTAATTCTTTTCTAATTTCTAAAGTAGTGTACACAAATAGTGAAAAATATTGCAGTAAAAATAAGATTTAAACCTTTGATTTCTATTTTTAAAAAGTTGCTTTTCCTGCTGAACTTTGGTGTTTTCAATGATTAGCAGAGAGTGATACAATTAAGAGTTTGTTCTGTCAGTGTTGCTTAAATAAGCTGTGTTGGTATTCTTTGAAGTACCAAAGTAAAGATATAGATTCATAAACATTTTTAATACAAATGTACATACCCAATATTGAAATTCCTGTCGTTGTCTACCCATTTAAGTTCCACCATTTCCTCAGGTGTATTAGACTCCACAGGCCCACAGAGGATGGTGTAGTCCTTCATTTCCTTTAATGCCTCTTTGATACTAACCATGGCCTCAGGCAATACTTGGACCATCAGTCCATCTTCTACAATACTGGACTTAGCTCTCAATCCAGAACTGGATTTTAAAGCACCATTAAATATAACAAAACTTGCTCCTGTGACTAAAAAAGCAAAGAAACAAAGGTTACCATCTGTTTAAAAGCAAACACATTATTCTAAAGCAGGTTATGTTCTTTGAGCTTTGAAATGTAATTGTTTTGTGCATCAAATGTAATAGAGTACATTAAACTTGTTTTTTTAATCTGAAGCTCATTTAAATCAATATTTGACTGATGACAAAGTGTATTTAAAAACACTTTTTAAAAATATTAAAAATACTTGTTAATTAATGCAATTGATTTGGACTAATAAATTAATTTAATTAAAAATAGCAAGCAAATGTGAAATACAAAATTTACCGAGATGGTTATCAAAACTTTCTGCCATACCTAAACGAGGTTTATTTTGAATGTTTATAGCTTGAGTTTGGTAGTTGCCATCCTCATTCTGGATACAGACTAAGTGGGAGTCGGCTTCAGAGCTGAAGGATGAGCCCAGCGCCATCACATGTTCATTGCTGCTCCTTACTACCTTCATCACCTGGAACAAACAACAATGTGCTATAACACTAACCCTCGTTTCATTTTTATATTTTATAACAATCATCATATCTGATAATACTGCATTCCTTTGACAATACAACTTTGGTTCAAGAGAAGAATAAAACTGGTCAATGTTACTAACTTTAATCATTTAACCCGTGCTTGAAATTTTATTTAAATGCAAAGAATTAAGTTAAAAGTCTGTTATTTACAATCACTGACATTTATTACAAGTCGAATAAAAATCTAACCTCATTATATCTGTTACGTGGAAAACTAATGACTGTTTTCTTATTCTCCATATGAATTACCACCCCTCTTATCTGGGTCAACATGTACTGGTAGTTGCGAAAATCTGCCAGTAAATTTATAATTGTGTGTCCTATCTCAAAGAAAACAGGTTTTCTGTTGCGGACACCAACAAGTGGACAGGGATAATCTGGAAATGAATAAAAGAAACGTAAGAAAGAAAAAGATTTCCATTTAATGTATTATTCACCCTTTCCAGTCCTATTTTTTGTGGTACAATCCAGTGTGATTATTTTCATGTAGTAATGGAAGTCTCATTGGTAACAAGATTTTGAATAAACCGGCAAAAGCGGGGAAATAAGTTTCATTTATGTTATTTACTCGTTGTTCTAGTAATCATGGTTAATTTTCTATGATTTTTTTAAAGGTACAAATTTTCTTTCCAAAATTACAGGCAATATAAATAGTGAAAAAACTCTAATTAAAATTCCTCTGCAGCTGAATTGGGCTTTATGTATAATATATAACTAATACAGTGATAATAAAAAAGAAAGCAGCTCCAGTGACTACTACTGAATTTTTTTAGCATGTAAAATAAAAATTTTATATAAATAATATTAGAATTAGGGGTTTTTTTTAATTAAAGTAACCTTTATTCTATTTTACCACATACATGATAAATTCAAACCAATTTTCTGTATGATGCTTTTTTTTAACGTAAGTGGTTATTTTTAAAATAATTTTTTTTTTAAAAGTACAGTGTTCATATTTTTGCTCGGCTCTAGGGAAAGTTAAATAGTTTTGATGCCCTGGATAGGCGATTAGCTACTGAATCTGTGTTCATTTTAACATTGTTTCCAGCAGAAAAAGTGTCTCTGTAGTCTACCTTAATTTTCAATATAAACAAGATCTACCTATGATTAGTAATTTTACAAGGCTATGTAATCTACACTTACATCTGTACTCTGCTCCCAGCCGTAGCAGGAGTCTGATAGGAAATACTTTTGCCCAAGGTACTTCCCATTTCTGCAAAAGAATGCCAAACAAGTAGGGTGCCTCTGGCAATGGTAGCTTATTCAAGCACTGAAACGTTGGACGCATATACAAAAATCCACCATGATCACGATTTCCGAGAAAATTCTGGTGGAAAATAGAGTAACCCATATCCTGTATGGGATAACCTGAAATTTAAAAAAATAATATTTAATAACTTTCATTGAAATATTTTATTCAAGTATAAAATATTTGTACATTATATCTAGTTACCTTTGTATCTTATCTATTTTAAGAGCAAATAAATTCACAAAACTATTTTGACTATTTTTTAAGAAACCAATAGTCATTGTTTTATGAAAAAAAGTTTATATAGTTTAATGAAATGATCAATTATATAACAGCTTTGGAAACAAAAAAAATGATATAAATAATAAAATAAAACCTTTTAATGCTTCCTCATACACATTTTGGAAGTGAATAAACATATCTCTTGGTGGCAGAAGATTGGTGCTTTCCATTTCTTCCTCTGTCAACTCAAGCAGAATCACCAGCTCACTCTGACCAGCTGTGTTCATTCCTCTTGTAACAAAATACCAACACAGCCTATTCACACAACAATCCACTGGGAATAAAGAAATATGTAAAATTTTAAGAACAATTCAAGCTAAGAAATAGTAAATATATTCAAGCATTTACAGTTTCAGCCTATGTTAATTGTACATTGTACCCCTACTAACTGCAATGACCATCAAGGGAGAATTGTTACTATTGTTAAGTTTGACCAATATACTTACTGTTTATAACTTTGATACCAACGGCAAGATTTTTGTTGACAGCATAATATATCAATGGTCCACCTTCCGCTGAAATAAAATAAAAGATTGGCATTGTAATATCAATAGATCAAACAAACAATAGCTATACACATAAGTACTGAAATGGACACAAAACATATTGCAATCCACCTTTATAATCCTCAGTGTAGTTTATCTGATTTAAAGCATCATCCCTTTCAATATAACCTACAGAGAGAAAAAACTAGATGTCAACATCAATCAAATGAGCTAGGATTAACAACTTTAAAGTTTTATGAGTGTACGACATCACTTCCAAAAAGTCTTTTGTTTATAAGAATAGTACATGTTTATTAACATATTTCCAGACACTAATCAATACATTAATTTACCTGAATCACCCTGGATAATATACAAGGGGGGGAATCCATCATCAGGTATTAAACAAGGACTTCTAGAAATGCTCTCATCTTTGATTTTACGGGCAGGTGGAGAACCTGAAATATATATTTAACAGATTTATCAAAATATACTTACATCACAGTCAATCAAACACCCACAAAAAATCAAATCATAACAACAACAAAATGTTTTTGATTATCAGTACCTTGGTGCTGTGGGGGTCCCCTTCTAGCAGCACGAGCAGATCTGCGCTGAGGCCTTGTCTGTTCAGGGCCGTCCAACTCTGTCAAATCACCACCTGGTCTTATGCCATCAGAAAACATCACCTGTTTTGGTTCACCTGACCGCCGCTGACTTCCTAATTAACAGTTTAAAAAATACATTGTATTCAAATTTTTAAAAATATTAAGCATTGTATCAAGAATTACGATGTCTTAATGCTCCTACTAAATGTTGTTCAAGTTTTGTGTTCATGTTGAGGACTACAGGAAATTCTACAGTGTTAAAATTTAAAATTAGAATTTAAAAAAGCAGTCATTCATTAGTAGTTTCATTGTCAAAAGAAAGTAAAACAGTTCAAGTTTGAAAGAATAATTACTAGAACAAAAATGTTGAGACTACTTTTAGCATTCTTAAACATGCTGATTATTAAAACAAATGTGAGTTGTTTTTTTGTTACTTAAAGTATTGTCACTCTCACTATGCAGTTCTAATACAACTTAAAGAAAAGTATCATCTAGGTTGAAAACAAAATTGAAAAAAAAAGTGTTAAAAATTAGATTACAAAATGTTATAAAGAAAACTGACAGCCATCGCATTAGAAGAAACGAGACAAAATTTTGAAACAAAAGTAATTGCACTATCATCCCAAGACACCAAGTTTGTTTTTTTAAATTGAGTAAAAAAAAAATATAGCTGACTTACACAGACCAAGTTAACTTTGCTTGGACTTTCTGTAACTTAAGTTTAAACAAGAAACTGATGTCACCAGCAACTGACCTGATGGCTTTAAAACGCCTGTTGGCACCATGACAACTGGTGGAATGGCATGGTTGCTGGCCTGCTGATTGGGTGGAACCTTAGAGCAGTACTCATTGGGATTGTTTGGGTTGGGACAACGTGGATTGGCAGCTGTGCCAGGGGCTGCAAAGGGAATCAGGACAAAAGCATGTCAGCAGTTAAACAACGGTGGGGTTTAGAGTACCTAACGTTGTGCTTTACATGTCTCCAATGTGTCCTAGTGTGTCTCAAGGAATAATTATTTTGTAAACAAATGGGATTAAGCAGGAATAGAAGTTTAAGCAGTTTATGCAGAAATTCAATTTAAGAATGCAAAATAAGCTATGTAGAAAGAATGCGGCATGCTCTAAATCAAACTGGACAAGCCATGCTTTCTGATAAACATGTCGTGCAGAGAAATGATTTTTGTATTGGCTGTCTAGTTTTGAAAAGCAAAACAATTTATAATGCTATTTTTTTATTTTCTACACATTGTTATTCAAATCTAAATTTTATAAAAAGCTATCAGACAATCATGGTATGTCCAGAAATTTCAACTGTAAAAAGACTTATGTATTTTCTGTTTTAACTTTTAAAGAGAATATTGTACAATGTACTTTAATACAGGCTTCTCATTGATTTATAACTTAATAATGTATAACGTGTTTCAAAACAGAGTATTTTAAAATGTGTTTTTAAAAAAATGAACAAAAAGTGAAAAATGTATTACTGGATATACCTTTACCATTTAGCAAATTTTATGTAAATGAAATAGCTTGAACAAATTGCTGCTACACTGAATCAAAGCTTACCTAAGCTAAGTTGTATATGACACTCTAGGCAAACTCTAGCTTCTTTGTTCTCCATGTAAGGTAGCAATGCTTTTTGACTACAGCAGTTGGAACAGAATACCTTTTTGAAAAATAGTTTATTTGACAACTTAAACAAAAATATTTACATAACAGTATAAATATAGTATAGAAATGCACAAGATATTTTATGTTTGGGTTTCCTAATTTTTTAAATAGTTTAATTATTATAAATTTTTTTATTTTTATTGAAAATCTATCCACAAAATAATCACTGTGTTTAATTTCCCCACTCCCATCAAAAGTAACTGTAACATTCATAGTAAAATGATGATCTTTACCTTCCCACAGGCACGACAATGATGTCTTCTTTTCCATATAGTAAATTTGAGTCTGCACATCATACACTCTGAGGCATCAGCATCAGGTATCCAGAATGGAGCAGCTGAACCTAAACTGTTGGACATTGACACTGATTGAGGCATCAGAGTGGACCCTGGGTAAGATTCTAAACTTTGTTCTGATGCTGTTTCCTCTTCAGGTAAGTTCACTTCAGTTTGGTCAGGTAAATTCATTTCTGGGTGATCAGCACTTCCAGGTGATGGCTCATCTGAACAAACTAAAAATAGAAAATATACACAGGATGTAAGAATACAAATAAAATCATTAAAATTTACAATACGTTTTCATTTTAACATTCACACTGAATATAAAAATTACTCAGGGTTATAATTGTAAGTAGGAAGGCGTGGAGCACACAACTGCTAACTTAAAAGCCTAAAATTCAGATCCAGGGGTAGGTCCATAGGACTTCAATGAGTCCGTCCAGCTTTGATGAGTAGGAACCTGATTTATATTAGGGAAAGTTAAGGTGCCTGGGCATGGAGCTGACCACCCTATCCTTTCAAATGCAGAGGTCACAGAAACAGATGAACTCTACTTCATCTGCTGTAGGAAAGCGTAACTTTTTAAAATTATAATTCTACATTGTTTCCTCATTAAGTTAAAAAAACATTTTTGCTAATACTCAGGTATAAATGGTCTTGACCTAAGTCTCTAATTATTAAAAACCAAGAAACACAAGCATTTGTTTTTTTAAAACACCTATTGAATTTAAAATGTTTACTTTTTAAAAACTTACCTTCATGCTCTATATTTTCTCCTTCACTTTGTTCAATGCTGAATTCAGGTCTGCGGATACTCAGAGATGTTGGCCTTTTTGTTTTCTGAGAGTTTTGATGGTCTGGAGGGGAAGTGGAGGAAATATCTTGGTCTGATCCCATGTGAGATGGTGAGTAATCATGTATAATTGGGACAGTCTCGCTGGTTGTATGGGCTCTGGCGTCTCTAAGCACAGCGCTGTCACTAGTCAAAGCTTGACCAGGCTGCATGGTCACATCTGGGAAGTGTGAGGGTTTCTCACTTCCTGCTGGGTGACCTGGTTCATCAACTGCAGCCTCCACGACGCTCTCAGTCGCAGGGAAATCAAGGTTGACCTTTGACAGCCCCAGCAAACTGTTGGGCCGATTCTTCTTTATCGCCGATGGATCTTTGGGCCTCGCCCCAACACCCATGTTCATCCCCAAACTGTTCGTCACACCGCTTGATGTGTGACCTGGGCTGAGTGAGCTGGGGTCGTTGGTGTTGACCCAGGCCCCAGTATCTGACCTCTGGGTCACATCAGGCTGGTTGTGACCACCAACAAACACAGGTTTATCAGATTCACGTAAAACATGTTTTCCAGTCTCTATCTGTTCTAAAATGCCTTCAATTTCCATCTTCCCTCTCATCAAATTCTCCCCTATAATTGTTTGTTCCTTATCCTGAAGAATACCTTCAATTTCCATTCTACCATTCATAACAGAATTATAAACTCTCTGTCTAATGGCATCAGAGGATTCAGATACACCACTGTGTGTGGGGAGAATGTCCTGTGTTGTGTGGGCCGCAATGTCAGCAACAATGTCAGGGTCTTGATGGTGGCAGACACCAGCTTCAGAGATTTCACTACCGGAGCATAATTTTTTAGGCTGAGAACCATCATGGACCACAGAGTAATGGTCTACTTCAGGTTCTGCTTCATTCAGCTCATCAGCAAGACTTCTATTTTCATTAACTTTATGTGTATTGTGGTCAATATGTATGTCTGGTACATGTGAAGAGCTGTAGTTAGTTTCAACTGTGGATGTCATGTAGTCTTTTGAAGTGTTAAAATTACTTACCAGCCCATCATCGAAGTTATTAAGGTACATATTCACCTCACTGTCATCTATGTCTTCATCAACAGTGTCGTGAAACCCAACGGTTTCTTCCACTGCTGATACCTGCGTGCCCGTGTTACCTGTGTTTAAACTGAATGTGTTTTGATCAGACATGAGACCAGTCACAGCAATACCAGGTGAGCAATCATCTGCGTGAGATTTTGACAACTGTTGATTGTTATCCATAGGAGAATGTTGGGAAGACTGGGTGTCTGGGACTAAATTATCAGCATCCATGCTTGCATAGATTGGGCTGTGGTTTTGATCAGTTTCACCAAACACCTTTGTATCACAAGAAACAGATGTATCACCATGCCCATCTACTATGATATCTGACTTGGGAAAGGGAGAGGACATCAATTCATGTTCACTAGCAGGAGACAGGGCATCAGTCTGAACCTCGATTGGCTGGTAAGCAATAGTTCCCTTGCGCTCAGTGCTATTGGCTATGCCTTTACGGTCATAAGAGTTAGTGGAGGAGTAAACGGTATTAACCTTATCCCCATTCACTGATATTCTGGTTAGGTTTGTAACAATCTCACTTTGATTATTCCTCTTTCTGCCTTCATCTTTCCGTTCATACCCATTGAAGGAGTAGTTGTCATCTGTTATAAGACCCAGCTTAGAGCCAGAGAAGTTGTCATACGGGTCATCATAGGGTACATTCACTGGCTCTCTCACTGATCTACGCTCAAGTGTGTAGCCACTGTAGGAAGGGAATTTGCTTGGATTCAGAGAGCTCCAGTCTTGGTTCTGGTGCTTTTCTAAGAATTCTGTGTATCCACTCGGCTTAAGTTCCTGGCCAGGTATTATAGAGAGTGCTTGTTTTTCTGGGGATATTATATTTATAAACTTTATGTTTCATATCTTTTTTTTTTTAAATAGAGTAAGGTTTTGAAATTTGTGAGATTTTTATGGTTTTATCTAACGTTGATAAAATTAATCATATTTCTCAAATTGTAAGAAAAAAATTTAATTTTCACAGTAAATTCTGAAGCTAATTTGAGTTTGTTTTTTAGCTATATCTTTTATCTTTACAAAATGTAAAAGCTTCACCTTCTTCTTCAAATTCATCTAAAACTTTATCCAAGTCAACAAAATCCATTGTTCTTTAGTCCCTGTAAAAATCATATCAAAGGTTAATCAAACTTTTAAACAATATTAATCAATACTTGAAACACCAAGCATACATGAATGGAGCACTATGAGACTACTAGTAGTAGGCCTACATATAAAATGAACATAGGCCTACACCATTAGTCTTTAGCAGTCTCCACATCAATAAAATATTTATTGCAGATAGTGTCAGGGGGAAAACACCTGGACACCATTCCGAGTGTCCATATAGCAGTGTCGCAGATTTGCTAGAATTACAATGCTTTCATTTTAATTTTATATGCAAAGTGACTAGATTTTAGTTCCAGTTCCTAAGCTTTTAAACTCTAAGAGTTTAATATTTTTTATTACTATCCTATGCCTAGATCTAGTAGGGCCTATTTAACAGCTTGTTAATAACAGGTCTAGATTAATTCTACCTTCTACTCTACTAGTCATAGTCCACTGAAGTAAACTCTTCTTAGTTCTTAGTCTTACTGATGTACTGTGCTCTAGACATAGACGATTCGGGAGAATTTTTACACCGGTGTCCGATAATGGAATCTTCTTTAAAAAAGTGGTGTTAGGCTACTGGTAGTTAACTAAATACACACATGGCTGGATAATGTCAGTGCTAACCTGTCCCTAACCCTAACATACATCTAACCCCAACATACACCTTACCCAAATTTCTAACCATAAAATTAGTCGAGATTACAATACTACTAACAACCCAACACACCTATTTTATGGAAGAGTCTATTATAGGACACCAGTATCTATAATCATTGGACGATTTTAGATCTAGATCTAGTAGTGATGACTTGCATCTTGTCTATTCTATAGGATAGATACTAGATCTAGATAGTAGATAGATAGGCCTAGGGCCTAGATAATTTTACAAGGATATTTTTAAAGTTTAAAGGATAGGCCTATGTTTAATTTATTATTTTAGCCTTTAGCTAAACCTAAATGAGTTCTTTGGATGGCCAACATAAGAGACAAATTTTGTTGGGACAGTTGGGAATGCCAGTATTCTGAGTATTTAACATCACTAATGAACATGTAGATCTAGATCTAGATCTATGATCTAGACTCTAGAAAAACTTAAAACTAGGATAAGAACTCGTACGTCAACAATAGACTTGAGTCGGAGACAACACAACATCCAATGAATATGAGATAACAAAACGAAGAATGTTATTGCATAGTATTTAAATGCATGTATCAAAATGAATAAGCAATTCAATTACCCTGTCTTTTTTACGCTTATACATATCGCATCATAAGAAGATTATCATAACTTTAAGTGAAAAATTGCTCTGAAAATAAAACAAGGCTACATCTTATGCCGTAGTATCTCAGTGGCCATATTTTCTCTCCGACACTCTCGCCCCCTAGTGGATTAATATAAGTAAAACAAGAGATTTTTAGGTCTAGGCCTAGTCTATTTTATTTCATTCTTTTTCAAAGTGGTGTCCCATTTCTAAATAAAATAAAATACAGAACTATTATATCACAAAAATTACTAAAGAAGAATCGTGTTACGAAACTATTTTTAATTAATGCTCATAGGCATTATGTTTATTAATTTGTTATGACTTAGCACACATTTTTGGAATGTGTTTATCACGTGATTGGAGAATGACTCATTATTCTATAAATAGCGTTACTTTGGGAATTTCCTATTTATTTTATTTTTTTTTAAATGATAAAATATAAGCATTCAAATGAAAGTGGCCATCGAATTACCAAAACTGCTAATTTTCTGGATGGTATAATAATAGCCTTTCTTTAATAACGTGTGTGATGTATATTTCTATTATCGACAGTTAAAACATCGAGCTAAAACGTTGAGGGTCGCTTTACCATTGCAAATTAAAGAGCTGGGGTGGAGGGTCCGTACTCCGTAATGACGATTTTTTGTCGCTTTTTATAACACTCTTTCCTACTGTCACACATTGTCAAAACATTAGACTCCCGTTAAACGACATTAAACTTCAGCCTACGCACCCTACCACTTGACCATCAAGATTGGAAATATTAATAATTTTTATTACAATCCATTAAATAGAAATTTGAAATGAGAAACAATGTCTATAATTAGTAGAATGGCCTCCGTGGTTACTATTGTTAATTTGTTACCAGGCATCTCTTCCGAACAGAATGAAATTTATACAATTTTTATAGAAAATATATACTTTTAACAGTGTCCGCCCCCCCCCCCCCCCCCGAAGAAAGTTTACCGCCCCCCCCCCCCCCGGAGAAAAAAGTCTGGAAGAAACACTGTTTGTTACCGTTATTGAATAAATTAAATTGAAAAATTAAATTGAATTTTGGTTTTAAAATATTTCTAAAACATGTAAAAGTAGCTTCACCCCACGACCAGTGTTTCTTTCAGATTTTTCTCGTGGGGGGCGGACTAAATTCTCCAGGGGGGTGGGGGGGGGCCACAGGTAAAAGTATAAATTTTACTATATAAGTTATATTTCGTTCGGGGTGGGATGGTAGACGTGCTTCCGGAGGGGGTAGGGGTTGACATCGCCCCCCCCCCCGAAAAGATGCCTGAAAGAAACACTGATCGTGACATTAGTCTGACCACCATCAACCCCATCCTTTCCTATTTGAGTGTGACGTCATTTTTTTTTTCGTTTGTTAATTTATAGATATCTTCGACTTGCTGTTTTTGGGTAGATTGACATCATTTTTTTCTAAACTCATCCCTCTCATCACCCCCCCCCCCCCACCCCCTTCTTCTTTTCATACTATTCTCCACTGCCCCTGCACACAATTCTCCACAAGTAAAACAGAACCCAAGAACATTCTCGACAAACGTCTTAAGAGACTCTTAGCCTAAGTGTCGAAGTAAAATATCGATCGTTGATTGACAATAAAAGTTTGGATCCCTTCGATAAGTCTGTCCGCTCCAGCGTTGACACAACTCGGCAAACATTTAAGTAGGTCAGATTGATCCGTCTAAATACCTCTCCCAACCCACACCGCCACCCACACCACTCCAACTGTTGTGGCCTAGGTATGTTTACACAAGATTATATATCCAAAAGTACCTCTCCACCCCAGAACTCTGTGAGGGGTTAAATGGGCAAGTAACTCCAGTCGTGTCAGATGTAATATCTATTCACCCCGAGGCGATGAAATGCCCTATTTTTTAACCTCTCCCTTTAAACGGTTATGAGGGGGGGGGGGGCTTATTTCGGCTGAAGATTGTCAATGACTGGAGTGTTTACTAAAGTCCATATAAAGTACTATATTTTATTGTGTGTAGACGTTATTTTTACATTAGACATAAAATAGATCCTGTTAATGTAAGTGTTTGTAGATGCACAGTGAACACTTATTGTGTTTTACAGTAGGGTAAAAATAAAGCTTTATATTTTATTTGACGTAAAGTAGTCAAAGTTTACTGTAGCTAATACTTACTATCGCTTAGCTTGTATATTTTGTGCGACTAGCGAGTCACCTCCCTTTATACTTTTTGACACAATAAAGAACAGAAATATGTTGTGTTCTTTTGTTGTTGTGCCTGAAACTGAAACCAATACTACTTCATTATTTTGTTGTTTTTTTAATCCTGAATTGTGATATGCACGTTTTTTCCTTCACGTTACACCAAGAACAGAAATAACCTGCAGTCAGAGTATCTTCTGTGTAAAATGTTGATTGTGTTTGTAGCTTGTCTCGGGTTTCTAAAGGTGGCGAGAAAAAAATGCCTGACAATGACACTCAGTACCAAAAGATGGCCCCATGTTTCGTAGGAGAGATCACTGTCACTCGGGAGGAAATCGGATTTTCAGTAAAACATAGATCTAGATAACTTGCTCACTCTCTAGTCAGCCTAGAAATATTTCTCGTATTTCCTTAGTTATTTATGACCTATAAATACTGCAGGCCAGTGGCGTAGCCAGGATCGTCTCAAGGGGGGGGGGGGGGTTCCAATCTTTACCCGGGTACAAACTTTCGATTTGCACCCACCTCAAACTGTCGATTTTTGCACCCCCCCCCCCTCAAACTTTCGATTTGCACCCCCCTCAAACTTTCGATTTGCACCCCCACCCTCAAACTTTCGATTTGCACCCCCCCCCCCCCCTCAAACTTTCGATTTACACACCCCCTGATACTTTATATATCTATACCGAGGGGTCTATGGGGGGGGGGGGGGTTATGACCCCCCCTAACCCCCCCCCCCCCTGCCTACGCCACTGCTGCAGGCACCCATGAGTGTCCGTAGTGCACATAAAGTGTTGCACCCCCCCCCTCCACTTTTTTTTTCTCCACGACATAAAATGAAGGATAACTTGAAGAAAAGAGTCCAGTCCGTTTTCTTGATCAGTTCGGTCCTACAGTCCAGCAGATCTTAAAAAAGTCAGATGGTACCTACATACAACCCATCGCACGAAAACATGTAATTATAATGTTAGCCGGGAGACAAAAGTTACTTTAGATTCCACGCCACACCCAAATTATGGTACTGAAACCGAAAGTAAGGACATCAAGATGCCACAGGAGTCACTACACCTGCAAGTAGTACAAGTAATTGTAAAGAGCAAGCAAATCAAAAGGCTGATTCTTATCACAACTAAAGATGGTGTCTTCTACAAGCTGACAAACAAGGGCCAACGAGTAGTCTTCTGTTTAGTGAATAGACCACTGTAGGATGAGGCAGCACGTGATTCTAAAGATGGAAGCTGGTTTCAGAGAGACATTACATTGTGGTATGGCTCTGGAAAATACCGAACATGTACGACAATACCGCAATTAGCATCAGCCAACGCAGTCAAGGTTCTGAAGTGTGAATAGCCAACTCAGTCATACAATTTCTATGGGGATCAGAATTGCTCAGTTGGAGTTTTGGAGACCGCTGTGCAGTTGTCTACGACGTTGGACTTGGTTGCCCTACTCAAATGTTACATTTAAGAACGAAGAAATACGACGACTTGAGTAAGAGACATATTTAGTGTTATTCACTTTGTTAGTTATTCGTCTATTTGTTGTTGTTGTTATCCTTTCTCAAACTATCTCAACTTTTCTGTATCGTTAATTAAATACCATCGATAATTCTTAAATTTTTTTTTAGATATTGCAGTATTGTCAATTTAATTGTATTTTATTTTTACAGTTTTTTTTTTGTTTTTTTTTTTTACTTTTGTTAATGCGCAATGTTTTGAATCGATTGTAGACAGAACACGATTTTTCATGACTATACGAATACTATGAACAGAACAGAAGCGGTATGTACGTAACCTGTTACACACGCTTTCATTTTCAACGGTTAGCTCATTCAAATACAAGGTTTCTTTCTGATATTTTCTACGTGTGATGGGGGGGGGGGGGTTAAAGTAGGCCTACATATTTTATATATATATATTTTATATATTTTATATATATATATTTTATATATATATATATATATATATATATATATATATATATATATATATATATATATATATATATATATATATATATATATATATTGTATCTCTCATTTTATTTTGTACCGGCAGGGGGTGGGTTATGGGACGTGTTCGGGGGGGGGGGGGGGAGCACTGTTCAATTCAGTCTAAACCTGTATAGGAAGAAATACCGATGATGTCAAACAGTCAATTGTTCGTTTTTAATCAAACACTGTGCACAGCATAGTTTACTTTCCTAAACACAGCTAATCGTGTAGGAGAAGTGGGGGGGGGGGGGGAAATCTAACGTAGTCTTTTCACGTAGCCGTAGCCCTGCCAAGCCCACGTACCTGCTGAGGTTCGAAGATCTCGCTTTGAATTAGACCAGTCATGCGCAAACAGGCCACTCTCCTGCGTCAGGAGTTTGCGACAGTTTGTGCCGCCTTCTCAGGCCGCCCATTCAAGCCAAACGTACTTGTCAAAGCCAAATCTGAGCGTGTAGAATCAACTCCACTACTGTCAACAAACGCATGAAACGATCATGCGTTGTTTTTTTAAAACAGGTCTTCCGAGTTTAACACACTGTACACACTCCACTGAAGTGTTCAATACATTTTGTTTCGGAATGTTTTCTGCGGAAATATTTTAATAACTCCTTAGGCTGTGTTGTATTAACTGTAAGCTTATGTGTGCTTTCAGTTTGGATATTTTTTTTTTTGCACAAGCAATTTGGCCAACAGTAAGTCCTGCTTGTTTTCTCACATTCCACAATATTGCCTTTAACGAATGTTTCTGTTTGATATATATATATATATATATATATATATATATATATATATATATATATATATATATATATATATATATATATATATATATATATGTGTGTGTGTGGTTACTCACTACTTGTACACATGTATGTATTAGTACAAGATGTATACATTCGTGACACGTCATGTATTAGTGTGTGTGTTAGTGTCAGTGGATTTATCAAATTTATCATTCTAAAGATAGTTCAAGACTAGCTGGATCGATTCTTCTATTAATTATATTAATTGTTCAGGTTGGCATTCTATTCATAAATTTCATATATATATATATATATATATATATATATATATATATATATATATATATATATATATATATATATATATATATATATATATATATATATATATATATATATGTGTGTGTGTGTGTGTGTGAGTGTGTGTGTGTGTTTGCGTATTTATTTATTTATGTGCATACTATTATATAATTATATAATTATTCCCAGAATGTATTTGAGAAGAAAGTGACTGAAATATAAACATATGTATGTCGTCAGCTGTTTTAGCGCTAACATGTCGCTGGAACTTTTGTGCCCATGTCTGTGGCTGAATGGAACTGCAATCGATAAAACAATCGGGCCCCAGCGTAGCTTGGAATTCACCTGATCAATGGGAGGCCACTCGGATGAACTTGTAGCGTCATGTTGTTAGGTTCCACAAACATGGCCGACGGTGTGCTGGGCCTGGACAAACCCAAAGACAGTCGAGGCTCGAGTTTCTTCCTGCCCACCAACGTTCAGGAACTGCTCTGGGAAGAAAAAAACCAGATCTTTACGGGATCTCATTTCTTCCTACCGTCTACCGTTAGCTGTGAAATTAAAAAATGGCGATATTTCGAAATATTGTTTTAAAAACGTCACGCATGATGACCCATCGTCGTCTTTCAATTCTGCAAACCACAATACATTATCTTCTAGCTGGGATTCGAACCCGGACCCAATGGGCAAGGATAGCCCTTTGGGTCAGGTACCTTCAGCTGACGTAGTTTTACAGATTCACGAAATAAGGCGTAGGAAAATAATTTTAGCGCGCAAGATGACGTGGGAGAAACGCCAAAACGATTACGTTGTGACGGGCGAGCAAGTGGAAATACCCGCATCTTTCAAAGGTACGTCTAGTAACTCTTTTGTGTACGTGTGCTATTCTTTGGAAATTATTTATAGACTCTTTGTTCGACACACATTTGTTAAGTTTTATGTACGCATGCTACTATTTGGATTGGAGATTATTTGTCGAAGCTTTGATTGTATGCACATTTTGGTAACTTCTGTATTCGTATGCTACTATTTGAATTGGAGATTATTTATAGATATTTTGATTGCCACAAAAAATGAGTGGTTGTTACATTGAAATTCAAACGCGAAAGCCAGTGTTTGAATATCGTCACAAATGACGACACGCATAAGAATGAGGTGGGTGGGGTTGAGAATTATGTGACGCAGTGTGACGAAAGTATTGGCTCAAAAAATGGAGCGCGCATTTACTTTGCAGATCTAAGATAAGAGCAAAACTTATAAAAACATTATATACGTCAGATTTTTGCTTGTTGTGACGTTAGTTTAGTGAAGGTCAGGCTTTTTGTGACGACTTGTAACGATTGGGGTAAGGTGGGGGGGGGGGCTAAAAAAATAAGATGTGAAAAATTCGACAGTGCGGTCTGTGAATATTTGTTTTTACATCTTTTTCATTAAATCTGTTTTATTCTGGCTGTTTTTGCTTAGTTGGATTCGCACGTGAATCATTCACTTACAACCTGCAGCTCACGTGAATTATTCACTTACACCCTCCACAACACGTGAATCATTCACTTACACCCTCCACAACACGTGAATCATTCATTTACAAACTGCAACAGAATTGTCAACGGCAGTTTTTGTGAGCACCTTACATTTACCTTCAGTACACTCACTGTATAGCGTCTTACCCATATTAGGCTATTTTGTGTACCCCGATTATAATTTACAGAGTGTTAAAAAGTCTTACCATCGTTAAATGTTGTTTTTTTATTACACGAAACCAAAAGGTAGATTTTAAAATCCCCGAAAAACAAGCACAACATACAACATAATTTTAAACGAGTTTAAACTAGTGTTCCACCATTTAATCAAAATCCATAAGGGTATTGAAACTTTTAGTTTATTTTTTTAAAGTATGTCAGAATGTGGTCATCAAGTATCAAAACATTACTTTCATTAACAAAATGGTTTGTGGGTTGTTTTTTTACAACGATGATTTTCGATTGTTTTCATATAGACCATGTTTATATGTAGGCCTATGTATTATTTGAGATTGGCTATATGAGGGCTCGGGGGTTGTTGAAATAATGCTCACCAAGAGGGTTTAGTACGTGTGTACACCCAGCTGTGGCCGGTGGTACACTTGTACACCCAGCTGTAGCCGGTAGACTTGCTCACAGCTGTGGCCGGTGGTACTTTTACACCAGCTGTAGCCGGTACACTTGTACACCCTGCTGTGGCCGGTGGTACATTTGTACAGCCAGCTGTAACCGGTAGACTTGTACACCCAGCTGTAGCCGGTGGTCCACATGTACACCCAGCTGTAGCCACTGGTATTAGTACACCCAGCTGTAGCCGGTAGACTTGTACACACAGCTGTGGCTGGTTGTACTTTTACAGACAGCTGTGGCCGGTAGACTTGTACACCCAGCTGTAGCCGGAGGTATAAGAGCATGTTTGCTTTTCCGGTAAGCAAAAAAAAAAAAAACCGTCAGACAACGTCGCCCATTTTGTTTGATCGTGTTGTAGACCGTGGGTAAATAAAAAACTCGGCGCTGTTTGTTCACGAAACTGCTAAAGCCGCCAAATGAGGTGTGATTTGCTGAATCTGGACAGGCAGGTGATGGTGATACGGTGGGCTTGGGGGAGGCAGTGGTGGTGATCTGGTGACTCAGTGGTGGTGATCTGGTAGCTAGTGGTGGTGATCTGGTGACTCAGTGGTGAGCTAGTGGTGGTGATCTGGTGACTCAGTGGTGGTGATCTGGTGACACAGTGGTGGTGATCTGGTGACACAGTGGTGGTGATCTGGTTAGTGGTGGTGATCTGGTGACTCAGTGGTGGTGATCTTGTGACACAGTGGTGGTGATCTGGTGACACAGTGGTGGTGATCTGGTTAGTGGTGGTGATCTGGTGACTCAGTGGTGGTGATCTGGTGACTCAGTGGTGGTGATCTGGTGACTCAGTGGTGGTGATCTGGTGACTCGGTGGTGGTGATCTGGTGATTCAGTGGTGGTGATCTGGTGACACAGTGGTGGTGATCTGGTGACTCAGTGGTGGTGATCTGGTGACACAGTGGTGGTGATCTGATTAGTGGTGGTGATCTGGTGACACAGTGGTGGTGATCTGATTAGTGGTGGTGATCTGGTGACTTAGTGATGGTGATCTGGTGACACAGTGGTGGTAATTTGTGTTAGTAATTCAGTGGCGAGGATTTATTGAGTAATTGAAAAGTGATGGTGATCTAATTTGTATGTGATGGCGAGGGGTGATGTAGTGATTTAGTGGTGATGATGTGGAGAGCTAGTGATGGTGATGCACGAGTGTGTTGTGTGATTCGTTAAATCTGCGTTCAAGTCCACGATGATGACTGGATTAATTTTTGTTTGCTGTAGACCTACCTGAAATAACCTGCACCGCTATTTAAGGCAAAAAGGTTCAAACACTAAAAACTCGCTAGATCCGCCAGAGCATAGCGTCTTAACTTTTTTGGACGTACCCAACCCCACCAGTATCATGTGCATTCACCGAACCCTTCCTTATAGTTCTATCGTCTGCACTCACAAAATCCGATCCTGAATGAGTCGGGTGTGTGTGTTGACCTCCACCGAACCACTGAGACTGACTCACTGAACCCCTGGGATTCGATCGAACCCTGGTTGATAACTATTTTACTAGAGACAGCTTCCCAGCCGCAGTAATTAGTTAGTTAACAATTGTGTAGATGTAGAATGTTCGTACCATTTCACGGTTTTAACGCCACATCCTAGGCTACTATGGACTGAGAAAACCAATCAAACGGCAGACACTAAACACAGATCAACCTTTAAATTTAAACTTTGCTTCAATCACCCAATCAGGCGTCCCTTAACCTCTGGGGTCAATAAGGCACCATATGTGATTCTCTCAAAATTTTCTGACATCTTTCTCGATCTCCTGAAGTAGTTCTACAACAGGTAAACTTCACTAAGGTTTAATGTAAAACAGACAAGAAATCAAGAAATATTTTATAACATTTTAAAATGCAACACTTGAAAAAAAATCGATTGAAGATTTATTTTATCTTTCCTTATCTAAATCCCAACGTATCTAGATCTACATTTTAAACGAGGTTTAAATCCCCCCCCCTACACCAATAGTTATTGGCTGTGCGACGCCATCGTAAAACCAACGCTACCTGTCCTGAATGTCACTGAACGTTGGTCGTTAATTGGGGAGCAGACGTCAGGTCGTGTGTCAGCCCACTAAAGATAAGGTCACATTAGGGTCCCTAGCGTCATTAGACGTACGAGCCTTTAATGACTTCACACACATTGGACATGTGTGTTTACCATAAAAGTGGCGATACTCGTTAAATACGAAACTACGGCTGGCGCAGAATTTTGAAAAGAAACGGTATTGTTTGCAAGCAAACGACAATGTTTGCTTTGATTTCACAAAGTTTGCCAGAAGAAAAGAATAAACAGAAGAGTCGGGGAAATATCAAATGTTCAAATATGGACTATGATGAATTAAAGAGGAGCAAAATCGTGTATTTAATGTTTATCTCCGTCTTATCAATGAATTTTCAAAGTACCAGAACAGCTACCACCAACAAAGCTACCACCAACACACCTACATCCACACAGATAACGCTAACACAGCTTCCTCCACACACAGCTACACCCACACATCTACCCCCAACACAGATAACACTTATACACCTATTCCACACACAGCTACACCCACACATCTACCCCCAACACAGATAACACTTATACACCTATTCCACACACAGCTATACCCACACATCTACCCCCAACACAGATAACACTTATACACCTATTCCACACACAGCTACATCACACATCTACCCCCAACACAGATAACACTTATACACCTATTCCACACACAGCTACACCCACACATCTACCCCCAACACAGATAACACTTATACACCTATTCCACACACAGCTACACCCACACATCTACCCCCAACACAGATAACACTTATACACCTATACCACACACAGCTACATCACACATCTACCCCCAACACAGATAACACTTATACACCTATTCCACACACAGCTACACCCACACATCTACCCCCAACACAGATAACACTTATACACCTATACCACACACATCTACCCCCAACACAGATAACACTTATACACCTATACCACACACATCTACCCCCAACACAGATAACACTTATACACCTATACCACACACAGCTACATCACACATCTACCCCCAACACAGATAACACTTATACACCTATTCCACACACAGATACATCACACATCTACCCCCAACACAGATAACACTTATACACCTATTCCACACACAGCTACACCCATACATCTACCCCCAACACAGATAACACTTATACACCTATTCCACACACAGCTACACCCACACATCTACCCCCAACACAGATAACACTTATACACCTATTCCACACACCCACACATCTACCCCCAACACAGATAACACTTATACACCTATTCCACACACAGCTACACCCACACATCTACCCCCAACACAGATAACACTTATACACCTATTCCACACACCCACACATCTACCCCCAACACAGATAACACTTATACACCTATTCCACACACAGCTACATCACACATCTACCCCAACACAGATAACACTTATACACCTATACCACACACAGCTACATCTACCCCCAACACAGATAACACTTATACACCTATTCCACACACAGCTACACCCACACATCTACCCCCAACACAGATAACACTTATACACCTATTCCACACACAGCTACACCCACACATCTACCCCCAACACAGATAACACTTATACACCTATTCCACACACCTACACATCTACCCCCAACACAGATAACACCTATACA